CATCCTGGTTCTGTTATGAACCTGGAATACTCATGGAGGTATAAGCTTTTTCAATTTTAGGTGATAGTTTTTCCCAGGAATTCCAGTTTATTGCAAGGCAGTAATCCAGAAAAGGAAGACAATAATACAAAAAAATTAGAAAACCATTTAAATATTAGAGAACAGTTAGGTAAATTGTACTACATCAGTGCAAGGCAATACGCTGCCATTAGAAGTTGTACTGATACTGTGTGTTTTTCAGCTTTCACATGTTATACATTGATATGCCAACTGTTTTATGTTATCCAGCTCAGTGTTACTTAAACTTCAGCTCTTTATATTTAAAACTTAATTCTCATGGGTTCCATGTGTTGACTTAAATATTTTGAATTATACTGCTGTGTTTACATATAAAATAAAACTAAGTTATGCTCTGAATGCTTAAAAGCACTTAGGCTACTATAAAACAAACCAATTTACTAATGAAGGGATCCCTGGGTGGCGCAGCGGTTTAGCGCCTGCCTTTGGCCCAGGGCGCGATCCTGGAGACCCCGGATCGAATCCCACATCGGGCTCCCAGTGCATGGAGCCTGCTCCTCCCTCTGCCTGTGTCTGTGTCTCTGCCTCTCTCTCTCTCTCTCTCTGTGTGACTATCATTTAAAAAAAAAAATTTACTAATGAAATAATCAAGGGACGCCTGGGTGGCTCAGCGGTTTAGTGCCTACCATCAGCCTGGGGTGTGATCCTGGGGTTCCAGGATCGAATCCCACATCAGGCTCCCTGCATGGAGCCTGCTTCTCCCTCTGCCTATATCTCTGCCTCTCTCTCTCTCTGTGTCTCTCATGAATAAATAAAATCTTTAAAAAAAAAAAAAGAACCAACAAAATAGTTACTGAAAAGATGAATTTAATGTGAAAAATGATATTTTGCTAAAACCAGATTTCTATTATTAGCGTAAGTAAGGTACCGTGCCAGCAGGTGTCCCTCAGCAGGTTCTTTTGAGTGTGGCAAACCCACACAGGTGGGTACTGTGAAATGACTCACTTTTCATCATGTTGCTTTCTTCAGTCCACTGTGAAATCTTTTTTTTTATTACAGTGATCAGGATATCATTTTGTTTTTATTTGGCAGTACATCATTTGGTCTTATCTCTATTTTTTCCGATTAACTCAAGCCGATTGAAGTAGTCCTATGTTGCCAATTAGATTGTTTCTTTTTTTAAAATTTATTTATTTGAGAGAGAGAAAGATAGAGAGCACATGCAGGGAGAGGGGTAGAGGGAGACGGAGAAGCAGACTTCCTGCAAACATGGAGCCTGACCCCAGGACCATGAACTGAGCCAAAGGCAGATGCTTAACTAACTGAGCCACCCAGGTGCCCACCAACTAGATTTTTTTTTTTAAGATTTTAATTATTCATGACAGAGAGGCAGAGACACAGGCAGAGGGAGGAGCAGGCTCCACGCAAGGAGCCCAATGCGGGACTCAATCCCAGGACTCGGGGATCATGCCCTGCGCCAAAGGCAGGTACTCAACTGCTGAGCCACCTGGGCTTCCCACCAACTAGATTGGAAGTGAGCACTGAAATCTTTGGCAGTAGTGGATTGCAAGATGGTCACCTAGATGATCCATTATGCTTATACTCATAACCCAGTTATGCTTATACTATGATGTGTCTAAAATGAAAACTCTGGGGGTTCCTTGTTGGCTCGGTTGGTAGAGGCTGTGGCTCTTGATCCTTGAGATAATGAGTTCAGGCCCCACATTGGGTGTAGAGATTACTTTGAAAAAAAAAAAAGGAAAACTCAAAATCAAACTCAGAGCTTGCTAATCTCTGTGAATATATCTATGGGCCTATGAACCCTAGGTGATTTAAATAGTTATTTTGAACTGCTCGGGGCAGCCCAGGTGGCTCAGTGGTTTAGCACCGCCTTCAGCCTGGGGTGTGATCCTGGAGACCTGAGATCGAGTCCCACGTCAGGCTCCCTGCATGGAGCCTGCTTCTCTCTCTGTCTCTCATGAATGAATAAGTAAATAAAATCTTTAAAAAAAAATGAACTGCTGGTTTGTGTTACTGATAGACTCTGCCATTGGGAAGAAAAAATAGGTCTCATTTGATTTTGTCACTTCCTACTGTTAGCCTTCTGTTCTTCACAACCACCAAGCATGGTGAAGGCAAACGAGAGTAGCTCAGGTGTTCAAGAAGGTAACAATGGGGTGGCCTGTCCAGGTGAAGAGAATAACTGGCGGAGATCTTACTCAGTTTGTGTTGCAATGACTTCCTTCTGCAGTGCATTTTTTTGTTTTTTTGTTTTTTTAAAGATTTTACTTATTTATTCATGAGAAACACACAGAGAGAGAGAGACAGAGAGAGAGAGAGGCAGAGACACAGGCAGAGGGAGAAGCAGGCTCCATGCAGGGAGCCTGACGTGGGACTCGATCCTGGGTCTCCAGGATCGTGCCCTGGGCCCAAGGCAGGCGCTAAACCGCTGAGCCACCCGGGCTGCCCTGCAGTGCAGTTTTAAAGATTCATTGCCCTAATCTGTGACTTGGGCAAGGATAGTGAGTGAACCTTCAGAAAGGTGAGTGCTGGGTCCAGCTTCCAATTCTGGGCTGATGGAGTAGCTGGTAGAGTCCTGAATGGAGTATAGATATCTTCTCCTTCCTCCCACATTTCCTGCCTTATGACCCATGACTTTCTCATTTGTCTTTGGAGAGTTAACTTTTATAATTTTTCAGGGATAATATTATATGAAAATAGATGGTCTTTAGAATATATGATGTTCAATTAATGGTATTGGAACAATCATCTGGAAAAGAAATCTTATTGCACAGATAACTAAAATTCCAAATGGATTAGTATTAAAAGTAAATAATGAAACAAATGATTACTATACAGAAACATTGGTTCAAGTTTGTTGTTTTTGGTGCAAAAGGCATTTTTTATTAAAGCAGGGTACTTGACCTATGGGCAGAAATAGCTGTCAACATTGGTTCATGTTTAAAAAATCTTTGTAAAAGATAATATCAAACAATGTAAGTATATAACAATAGAAATTGGTTAGATTATGATAAATCTATATAATGATGTGTCATGACCATTAAATACTCTTGAAGTATATTTATTGATACATATGTTATGGAAAAATGCTCATAATATATTGTTAGGTGAAAAGTACTTCATTATGGTATTATATGTATATAAGAACCAAGATCTAATATTTACTAGGTTGTAGACCTACACACTGCTAAGTTCTTTACAGCTTTTATTTGATGTTCATGTACAATCCTTTTTCATATATATGTATTCAAACATATACATTCATAGAAGGTAAGTTTTCTTGTAATACTTTTTAAGTTTTAATTGAGGTATGACTGACATAATTTATATATTTAAAATGCACAATTTGATCAATTCAGGCATTTAGATAAAACTCATGAAACCATCAACAAAATCAATGTAATAAACATATCTATCACCCCCAAAAGTTTCTTTGCGCCCCCCTGGTAATGCTTCCTTCTTTCCTCTTCTTACCCCATACCTCTACCAACTATTGCACTGTACCCAGAAAACCAGTGATCTACTTTCTGTAATTATAAATTAGTTTGCATTTTCTGGTATTTTATATAATGGAATCATACGGCACATACTTTTTTGTTTTGTTTTTCTTTTTCACTCAGCATAATTATTTTGAGGTTCTTGTATGTTGGGCATATCAATAGTTCATTCCTTTTCATTGCTAAGTAGTATCCTATACCATAATTAGATTGAACTAAGTTACATGTAAATATATTAATCACCATTATTTAGGAGAGTTATACAGCAATTTTCATAATTTTTTTTAAAAAGATTCTATTCACTTATTCATGAGGGACACAATGAGAGAGGCAGAGACACAGGCAGAGGGAGAAGCAGGCTCCCCACAGGGAGCCCAATGTGGGACTCAATCCCAGGACTCTAGGATCACAACCTGAGCCAAAGGCAGACAGTCAACTACTGAGCCACCCAGGTGCCCAATTTTCATAAAATTTTTAAAGCAACAGCACCTTTGTTTCTGCATGGAAAAAAGTCATGGAGTGTATGAGTTTCAAATTTAACGATTATTGGAAAGATAGTCTTCTTGAGGTGTGAGAATATGTGTAGGAGACAAGTTTCTGTCTGTGCAAATTGAGAAACTTAGGAAGAACCTGGAAAGACATTCTGTATTTGTGATTGTGGGAATTTTTTAAGGTTTCTGGATATATCACATGAAGGACTATAGTAATGGTAATTCCAGGTAACCTGTGGATATATTTTTAAAGATTTTATTTATTTATTCATGAAAGACACAGAGAGAGAGGCAGAGACACAGGCAGAGGGAGAAGCAGGCTCCTTGCAGGAAGCCCGATGCAGGACTCGATCCCAGGACCCTGGGATCACACCCCTGAGCTGAAGGCAGGTGCTAAACCACTGAGCCACCCAGGCGTCCCTAATCTGCTGATTGAAAAGATTATTAAACTAGATATTAGAACATAGGCATTTAATCCCAGTTGCTCTATGACCTTGTTTAAGTCACATCACCTCTCTGAGCTTCATATTTTTTAAGGGAGGATAAGAACCCTGGGTCTGTCAGGCCTGCTAACTATCTAATGCAGATTGTCCTCTAGAGAAGGGTAGCCATCTCTTTAAGGGAAGTGAGAATGGGACCTGAACCCCATGTCCTCTGCAACAAGCTGTGTCCTTTAATATGAGGTGTCTTCTGCTCAGAGTAGGCATACGTTTTTCTAGTTTTCACAGAGGCCCATCTATTCACCAAGGAGTACGTAGCAGCACTAAGCCTTCCTGGAAGGGAGGTAAGGGGAGCTGGATGAGATGCTTAATTTGCTCCAAGATGCTGTATAGACAGTAGTGGTTCCATCTATGCCTACCTCACAGGATTGGTAGAGAAAACAATGAGATGTATGTGCAAGTGCTTTGAAAAGTATAGTGTTACACAAATGTAAAGTCTTGCTATTTTGCTGTTCATTTGTGGTTTACTTTAGGGTAGATACAACAAGAATTGAATACTCCATTCCTTTAAGAGAAAACTGGGCACTACCATATTTCGCATGCCAAATTGCTGCACTTACAGGCTATTTAAAAAGCAACTTAAATACTTATGGAGAGGTAAGATACAAATTTAATTGTCACAGTTAATATTGATATATTGCAAATGTGGTGTAAAGTTTTAAACTTAATCATATTAACAGTTATATTCAGTGAAGCCTAATTACTACATAATAAAAGATGTATTTAGGTAGTCTGTTATATAACACTTAGTCTAGTCTGATGGTAAATTATTTTTAGGAGAAAGGAGATGTTGTGATATTTCAGTGCAGGCACTTGATAAATATTTAAGAACATATTATTATTTTTAAAAAACATATTATTTTGATAATCTCTCATTTTACCATTTCTTTCCTGTACTAGCTTTTAGTCATTGCAAGTTAAGGAAATACTAGTGAAGCTACAGAGTGACTACAAATGACATCAGTGTTAACTTTCATGGTAGCACTGCATATTTTCTGTTTTCTGGCAACCACTGCTCTGTTCTCTATCACTGTGATTTTGTAATTTTGAAAGGTTATACAAGTGGAATTATATAGTATGTTATCCTTTATGACGGACTTGTCATTTAGCCTAATACCCTTGACATCCATCTAAGTCGTTGCCTTGTATCAATAGTTTGCTCATTTCATTGCTGAGTAGTATTATAGCAATATGTATATTTTAATTACATATTTAGATCTTATAGTACCAGTCACATCAGGATTATCGAAGCTCAGATCTTTTGTGCAAATATCTGAAGCCATCTAGAGACATCTGTGGTTGATTACTGAAATGCATTTAATGTGTCAAGTAATATGTATAAAATAGTTCACAATAAAGGCATAGTTGAACATGAAATATGCAAGGTGAGGGGGTAGATAAGAGTGCACAGAATTTTGAAAATGTTCAGAGAAAGGAAAAACATAGCTAATTGTCCAGATTATGTTTAATATATATTTCTGTCTCATTTCACTGCATGTTCTTTAGAGTAGTTTGAGAATAAACCCTTGGAATTAGCAATTTGCTTCATTATATTATAGCTTTTTCCTAGTATCCTTGAAGTAATTAATATCCACGTGTCCAGTAGATTAAATAGGCTGGATCTAAATCTGAGTTTCATTGATTTCTGGAACTGGTTTCTCTGGGGATGATGGTTTCAGGCCTTGTTATTACAGTTCTGGTTGTTCCACGTTAGAAGTTGCCAGAACACTTTTTCTTATAGCTGTGGTGATAAGAAGAGCAGAAGCTTCTATGTTCTATCAGTGCTGAGCTCTTCTGGGCCTTGCAGCTGGTATTCTTCTCTTATATTCTCTTATTCAGGGTGCTGGAAAATCCCTGTATCTGCTGATGGCCTGAGGGAGGTGTTTCTGACTCTGAAATTTATCATTCAGTATAGTCAGCTGAGTCTGAGAAATTAAGTTTTGGAGAGCACACTTGTTATCTTAGGTTTCTTGACTAGACCCTTATTGCATTTCTCCTTTGCTGTTATCAGAGTAAAGTCACTTGAAATCATGGCTGGTGGAGAAATTGGGAACAAAAATGTACTCCCTGGAGGAAGTAGAGGTTGTTCGAAATATGCTAAAGAGCAGTGGATTTGTCAGATTTGGCCTCTTACTAAGGGATCACTTGAGAGCTGACATTTGGAAAGACGGAAATGATTTTAGCCAGGTATTTTTCAGGCAAGGGCAAAAATCCTTGTGTTTAATACCCTAGCAAGGAAAAGAGAGTTTTATATGGTTGACAGTATACGCACTGGGGAAAGATAAGGGCACACTTTTGCTGAGAAGCAATAAAAAAAAGCAATGGACTTTTTTCTCCATCGACTCCGTAATAGGCTGAGACATAAACAGACTATTTAGATGGAAATTCTTAGAGAAATATGGAGCAACACAGAAATGAAAATATTTTCTAGGGTGAATGGAGTTACTTTCACAATAACAAAAGCCAGTCAGCCAAGTCTAGCAAAAGCTACCATTTTCTTATATTTATTACTTCACCTGAGATGAAAGGAAAGTGTACTAAATTTTTTCCCTTTGTCATCGTGAAATTCTCAATATGATGTCAAACTTTGAAGGACAAGTGGTTGATTTCTGTCTGTGTGCTTTATTTAAGATCTTACTGTTTATGTAAGGATTTCATAATTATTTGACTTAAAAACAAAGTTTCTAGAATTATATAGCTTAAAGAAGAACCAGTAACAGAGCTGTAACTTTGAGGTAACAACCTCCTAGATTCTTACATTAATAAAGCTACTGATACTTAGTTTCTTTCTATTGTTTTCCCCAGAGGTTTTGCTACTTGTTGATGAGTGCTTCAACTTACACGTTTATGATGATGTGGGAGTACAGCCACTATCTCTTATTTCTTCAAGCAATATCTCTGTTCTTGCTAGATAGTTTTTCACTGGAGCAGAGCGACAAGGTATTTTGAATTTTGAAATTGTTATTTTTAAATTCAGAGAATAAATGCCCTTACAGTGTTGTATCTTAAGATCATTTAGCTTTTAAGCTTTATTTTGAAATGTTTTAGTAGGCTTTGACTTCTATTTCTATTCAAAAGATTGCTAAACTCATTCTCCCTGCCCTTTTATTTATTTTTTCCCAGCCCTTTTAGAAGCACTTTGAAATTCCTTTTAAAGATCTACTTAAAAAAAAAAAAAAAAAAAGATCTACTTATAAATAAATAAATAAATAAATAAATAAATAAATAACTGCTTAGCCAGAGTCATCTGTGCTTCTGCTCCATTTCTAGCCATTGCTCCTTCCCGATTTCTTTTTTTTTTTTAATATTTTATTTTTTTATTCATGAGAGACACACAGAAAGAGGCAGAGACACAGGCAGAGAGAGAAGCAGGCTCCATGCAGGGAGCCCGATGTGGGACTCGATCCCAGGACCCCGGGATCATGCTCTGGGCTGAAGGCAGGCACTAAACTGCTGAGCCACCCAGGCGTCCCCCTTTCTATTTCTTTAAAAAAGAAAAGTGAAATACACAACATGCACAAAAGAGTATATTTATTATACATATATTCTGTAGGATAAAATATGAGTATTTGACCATCCAGGCCAAGAAATGGAACATTGGAATACCCAGAAGTCCCTCTGATATGCTTTTGAGATTCATCCATGATGATGTACAGAGCTATATTTTATTCATTTTTATTTATTTATACATTTTGTTAATGGACATTTCATTTTTTCCAGTTTATTGTCCATTTGACAAGTGCTGCTGTAAACATCTTTACTGGCACATAACTGCATGATTTCTCTAGAGTATATACCTCATAGTGGAATTACAAGTCAAAGGTTATGTGCATATTTACCCTAAGTACCAAGACTTTGTCCAGAATGGTTATAGCAGTTTATATACCTGCTAGCAATAGTCAAAGATTCCCATCCAGCATTGGTTCCTTTCTTTATCTTTTTCTTTTTTGCCCCTCTTTTATCTTTCTTTTACTTATAAACATTTATTAAGTGTTTGATATATTGCCCAAGCCAAAAATTTGGGAATCTTCTTGCTCTTTCTCTTCTTAATCCTGTATATTTAGATACTCCAGAATCCTGATGAATACAAACATTTAGGTTAATTGAGTAGAGAGAATTTAACATAAAGAATCATTTATCAAATATAATGCCCTTATCTTGTAAGCAAAGTGAAATGAAGTCAGAGCCTCGGAAGAAATCAGTTTGTTTTAGTCTGGCCTTAGATGTCTGTGGGTTTAAAGCTTTTCACTTCATTTATGAGAATTATTTCTAAGTAATACATTCATTATACGCCATAATATTAAAGATACAGATTGAACATTTGTAGGATACTGTCCTAAATTATAATAGAGCATTTATTTTATAATTGGAGTCAAATCTATTCTAAACAAAACTAATGAAAAAATGTACAATAAAATTAATTTTATTCGCATTCATCTTTTGTCCCTACAGGTTCATGAAGTTTATAAAATCTATATATTTTCTCTGTTTCTGGGATATTTACTGCAGTTTGAGAATTCAGCTTTATTGGTGTCTCCTTTATTAAGTTTAGTAGTAGCCTTAATGCTTGCTAAGTGCCTTCAGGTAATGAGAATTACCTTTTTATCATTCTTGAGATAAATTTTTTAATTGTTAATTTATCATACCTCACTTCTTTGTTCATGATTTTTTTTCCCCACAGCTGAATGTGAAGAAAGGAACTTTTATAGCTAAAATAATGAAAGTGATTAACTTTTACTTGGTGTGTTTTCTGACAGTGACACTGAATATTATAATGAAGGTAAATAACTCGGCGTGTGAGATTCATGTAGTAAAGCAAGTTGAATAATGAAATAACTGGGCTAGGGGCACCGGGTGGCTCAGATGGTTAAGTATCTACCTTCAGCTCAGTTCATGATCTCTAAGTTGTGAGATTGAGCTTCACGTCAGACTCCTCCTCACCGGGGAGCCTGCTTCTCCCTTTGCCTTTGCTTCTTCCCCTGCTCATGCTCTCTCTCTCTATCTCAAATTAATAAATAGAAAATCTTAAAAAAGAAATATATTGGGCTAAATTTCAATGAGACTAATGAGATAATAGAGTTTGTACAGTAAAATTTTGAGTTGATCACTATCATATTCACAGGAGAAATTAGGATTCTAATTCTTTTCTAGATATACTTAGAAGATACATTTTATTTTCCATTTAATTGAAAATGTCATTGTTACCCATTTAACTAACATTAAGTAATATAATAAATTGAGATGAGTAAAAGTTTTGAAAAGAGTAGGTAAGTTATTTAAGTCGTAAGATAAGTGGAAATCTTACTACCCTGTTAGGATTTATGATTAACTATAAAGTAATATTACTGACTTAGGTCAGAAAGTCTCCGTGTTTCATAGTTACACCATGTATTATCTAATTCATTTTTAATTTATATTTTTTATTTTATAGTCTTGCTGTGTTTTCTATTTCTAGACAGAAACATATTGCTGTGAGCACAGCTAATAGTTCTTTGTTGTAACTAGTGTTTTTTCTTACAGATGTTCGTCCCACACAAAGAAAATGGGCACATGCTGAAATTCCTTGAAGTAAAATTTGGACTAAATATGACTAAGTAAGTTTTAGATTATATAAAATTTTACCTAACTCTGTATCACTTAGGACATAAAGAGCAGAAATAATCCAAGGAGTAGTAGACACCTAATTAACACTTAGAAAATAAATAATTTGGAATAGTGTAATATCTAGAAGAAATAGAACAATATTTTTTCTCATTAAAAAAATCTCATTTAGATGTTTTATAAATTAGATGTACTTCAGCCTTAATAACATCACAGTGTTTGGTGGCCATTTTCTCCTTTGATGTGGAACAGTGATATAATCTAAAGTCAGAATAAATTAAAGATTTAAAATGAATAAAAAAAAATGTAATTTTAACTACTACATCAGCAAAATGCTTGCATTTAAAAGGGGTAGGCAGGGCAGCCCAGGTGGCTTAGCGGTTTAAGCGATGCCTTTAGCCCAGGGCCTGATCCTGAAGACCTAGGATCGAGTCCCACATCGGGCTCCCTGCATGGAGCCTGCTTCTCCCTCTGCCTTTGTCTCTGCCTCTCTCTCTCTTTCTCTATCTCCCTCATGAATAAATAAATAAAAATCTTTAAAAAATGAAAAAAGGTAGGCAGTCACATACTTATTTCATAGCAAAGACTCTGAACGTGGGATCATAATAGTGGATTAGATCATAATAGTGGATTAGATCAGTGACTTTAAATTCAAGAGTAATGGTGTGCCTTTTGTTAGTTAAATGCATTTTTTAAATCTAAAGTGAAATAAATGATTTATGTACTAATAATGTCCACTTGCATAACAAAATATGTATTTAAGTTATTGTGATGTATCATAATTAACAAGTGTTAAACACTGGAGAAATCTTCTAAAGTGTAAGTCATATATGGATATCTGCTAAGGTTAAAGGATCCCTTAAGAAGTCACATGCTCCATAAGGGCAGGGACCATGTCTTTTTCAGGTGTATATATAGGCCTGTATATACAGGCAAGGAAAAATTGGTTATTGATCTCCATAATTGACAGGCCTTTCCCCTGACTTTATCTTTAACCCCAGAAGACTCTAGAATGCACATAGAATAAAGGGCTGTTTTTGTCTAACATTTCTTAGTTTATGTTATGTAGGGCCCCTTTGCTCAACACATCAGGTATTAGATTTACCTGACAGAGTAATACACTAGGTGTTTTAAGAGTAAGACATGATGTCTGTCCTTGAGAATATTGACATCTCATTATATGGTTTTTATATAGATAATGACATGAGTGGTGTAAATAGTAAATACCTTATGCTCAAATGTGCCAACTAGATATTAGGATTTGTAGTTCATCAGAATTTCAGGGAACATTTCTGTTGAGACAAACTCTCAAGAACCACTAAAGAAATGTTAATTAGTTTTTATTGGATGTTCAAAATACTGGGCCAGGTATTGTGAGAGATAAAAAAATGACTATAATCTTAAACTAGCAAATTGTATTAAGCAGTAGAAGAGAAAAGTAAAGTGCCATGGGGATATAGGGAAAGAAAGATTTGAGACTGAGATATGGAGAAGAATATTCATTAAATTGAGATTTGAAACGGGTCTTTTGGAATGCCTGGGTGGCTCAGCAATTGAACGTCTGCCTTGGACTCAGGGCATGATCCCAGGGTCTGGGATCGAGTCCCACATCAGGTTCCTTGCGGGGAGCCTGCTTCTGCCTGTGTATCTCTCTCTCTCTCTCTCTCTCTCGTGAATAAATAAAAACCTTTTAAAATTAAAAAAAAATGAAATGGATTTTTTTTTTAAAGATTTTATTTATTCATTCATGAGAGAGAGAGGCAGACTCGGCCCAGGACCCCGGGATCACAACCTGAGCCAAAGGCAAACTCTAGGCACCATCCAGGCACCCCAGATTTGAAATGGATTTTATAGCATTAGTAACTTTAATAGGTAGACAAAGATATGATTCATCATATGATCATACATACAAAACATTTTGATGGCAGCCTCTTTGATACAGCTGTATTACTGCTTGACACATTGTAAAACTTTCACCCAGTGATTTGGAAAGCAGGCATTCTTAGTCCACCCAAGAGCTCTCCTGAAGATCACTCCGTCTCTTACATTCATTTCCAGGGCTAGGGATTGAGGATAAGATGAAGGTTACAGATGGATCAGGTGTGAGAATGCAGATAAAACTGCATATAAGTCAGAGTCTTGTTGATCATATTTAGCTTTGGGTCAAAAAAAGTGTATCCAGGGCAGCCCCGGTGGCTCAGCGGTTTAGCGCCGCCTACAGCTCAGGGTGTGATCCTGGAGACCCGGGATCGAGTTCCACGTCGGGCTCCCTGCATGGAGCCTGCTTCTCCCTCTGCCTGTGTCTCTGCCTCTCTCTCTCTCTCCTCTCTGTGTATTCTCATGAATAAATAAATAAAATCTTTAAAAAAAGTGTATCCATATTCTTATAGCTCAAAATGTTTGTTTCAAATTTTATGATTTCTGTCTTAATAATTAGACTATTCTTTTTAAAATGTGTCCTAGTTGAATTACTTTTATCCATATAAAACAGTACTATCCAGTAATAATATGAGTCCCATATGCAATTTTCTAGTAGCCACTTTTTAAAAAGCCACATTCTTTTTTTTAAAAAAAGAAAGAAACAAGGGAATTTAATTTTAATAATAATACATTTTATTAATCTATTAAAATTTTTAAAAAATATTTTATTTGTTTATTCATGAGAGACATGGAGAAAGAGGCAGAGAAAAAAAAAAAAAGAAAGAAAGAGGCAGAGAGACAGGCAGATGGAGAAGCAGGCTCCCTGTGGGGAGCCTGATGCAGGACTCAATCCCAGGACTCCATGATCACAACCTGAGCTGAAGGCAGACACTCAACCACTGAGCCACCCATGCATCCCTGATTATTAAAATCTTATTTTAGGGGATCCCTGGGTGGCTCAGCGGATTAGCGCCTGCCTTTGGCCCGGGGCGCAGTCCTGGAGTCCCGGGATCGAGTCCCGCATCGGGCTCCCGGCATGGAGCCTGCTTCTACCTCTGCCTGTGTCTCTGCCTCTCTCTCTCTCTGTGTGTCTATCATGAATGAATAAATAAATCTTAAAAAATAAATAAATAAATGAATAAAATCTTATTTTAAAATGTAAACAGTATAGGGATCCCTGGGTGGCGCAGCGGTTTGGCGCCTGCCTTTGGCCCAGGGCGTGATTCTGGAGACCCGGGATCAAATCCCACGTCGGGCTCCCGGTGCATGGAGCCTGCTTCTCCCTTTGCCTATGTCTCTGCCTCTCTCTCTGTGTGTGTGACTATCATAAATAAAATAAAAATTAAAAAAAATGTAAACAGTATAAAAATTATTAGTGAGCTATTTTGTGTTCTGTAGTCCTTTTCATTCCTTTTTATGTTTGAAATCAAGAGTGTATTTTATATTTAAAGTATATCTTGGGGGATCCCTGGGTGGCGCAGTGGTTTGGCGCCTGCCTTTGGCCCAGGGCACGATCCTGGAGACCCGGGATCGAATCCCACGTCAGGCTCCCCGTGCATGGAGCCTGCTTCTCCCTCTGCCTATGTCTCTGTCTCTCTCTCTCTCTCTCTCTCTCTCTCTGTATGACTATCATTAAAAAAAAAAAAAAAAAAAAGTATATCTTGGGCAGCCCTGGTGGCCCAGCAGTTTAGCGTTGCCTTCAGCCCAGGGCATGATCCTGGGGTCCCGGGATTGAGTCCCACATCAGGCTTCCTGCACTGAGCCTGCTTTTCCCTCTGCCTGTGTCTCTGCCTCTCTCTCTCTCTGTGTCTCTCATGAATAAATAAATAAAAATCTTTTTAAAAAAATAAAGTATATCTCCATTTGCTTTGGTTATATTTTAAGAGCTAATAGCCACATTGTAGCTAGTAGCTACCATAATGGATACTGCAGATATGGAGGTTGGATGACTGAATTTTTTTTGTCTTCCAGATAAAAATAGAAAGTAATATTTCCTTGAAACCATACTGGGTTCTAGAGATGGTCACATTATTGGATAATAAAAAAGCAGATGTTTTACATTTATTAGGGCAATTTATATTATCTTTATAAAAGGTAGGGCCTTGCTGTTACAAGTGAATAGATTTAGAAATGTGTTGTTTTGGCTTAGTTTTCATTGATATAAAAAATACTCTTACATAGTAGGTTATATCATCTATGATTTCAATTTCCTGTTTTTTGTTTTCTGTAGGAATTTTACAATGAATTGGCTCCTATGTCAAGAATCCCTGCAGGCACCATCTCAAGATTTTTTTTTGCGATTGACACAGTCTTCTTTATTACCTTTTTATATTTTAGTGTTAATTATTTGTTTTCTTTCTATGATGCAAGTTATTTTTAGGAGAATTAAGTAAGTACCTATGAGAATCAATCACATTGCTAATTTATACATTATGAAAATAAACTATTTTTAATATCTTTCCAATATTTGTATATTTGGTTTAGAGTTTCTAGATCCATTCTCTTATTATCGACATGTAAAATATTCAATTTTGTTAAAATTGGTAAAATTCAAATTTGTTTTTACATCTAAATATATAATGTCCAAATTTAATGTAGGTGTAATAGTTAAATTGCCTACCAATTTAATCATTTTTACCTACTGTAAGGATATTTTTTTTCTATTTAGCTTAAATGAAGCTAGTAGTATAAGTGATTTTAAATTATAAAGAATTCCAGAAAATTGTCATGTTTAAAAAAATAGGTTGTGTATAGTATTTTAATCTTGAGAACTGGGATCCCTGGGTGGCGCAGCGGTTTGGCGCCTGCCTTTGGCCCAGGGCGCGATCCTGGAGACCCGGGATCGAATCCCACGTCGGGCTCCCGGTGCATGGAGCCTGCTTCTCCCTCTGCCTGTGTCTCTGCGCCTCTCTCTCTCTCTCTCTCTCTCTCTCTGTGACTATCATAAATAAATAAATAAATTAAAAAAAAAAATCTTGAGAACTTAGCTATTCAAATTATGATTTAACTATATATTTTTTTTTTTTTAAATTTATTTATTTATGATAGTCACAGAGAGAGAGGCAGAGACACAGGCAGAGGGAGAACCAGGCTCCATGCACCGGGAGCCCGACGTGGGATTCGATCCCGGGTCCCCAGGATCGCGCCCTGGGCCAAAGGCAGGCGCCAAACCGCTGCGCCACCGAGGGATCCCAGATTTAACTATATTGATGAAGTAATCACTAGTTGAGTGATAACTGATTTTGAAAAAGGAACCTAAAAATCTTTTTTTTTTTTTTTTTTTTTTTTTTTAAGATTTGTTAGAGAACCTGGGTGATAGTAGGGGGAGGGGCAGAGGGAGAGAGAATCCTAAAGCAAACTCCTTGCTGAGTATGGAGCCCCACTTGGGGCTCGATCTCAAGACCCTGAGATCATGACCTGAGCTGAAACCAAATTGGCTTCTTAATCAACTGAGCCACTCAGGCGTCCCCTAAAATCTTTTTTGTCGTATTTCCTGAACTTTCCTGTTTAGTCTTCACTGAGTTCATTGTCTTCAGGTTCTAAAAACCCTGAAAAAAATAGATCTGTAAGTTAGGTATTTGACTAACAATATACTTTAAAATTTCAAGGACCTACCTATATTTTTTTTTATGAAGAAACTTAAGATCTTTGATTTTTCAAATACATATTTTCAAAATAGTAAAATACATATTTCCTTTGTGTAGTGGCAAGTCCTTGAAAGAAACCATTACTCTTGAAGATGGACGAATTGGAGGAAGGCCAGAAATAATTTATCATGTGATTCACACTATTTTATTGGGCTCTCTTGCAATGGTTATAGAAGGGTAAGTGGACTTTATTGGATCTGTTTTTACAAAGAATTATCCTTTTTAGTAGTAATAAGTGGATACTTTCAAGAATATATTTATAAAACTATAAAAACTCAAAATCTACAAACTTTCTTAACCTAACTGGGGTTTACAGAGATTGTTATAGTATAATGAACTGACATTTACTTGTTCACTCATTTGCTCAAAAATTATTGAATGTCTTCTAAGGGCCAGGCATTGTACTAAGTGCTGGAGGTACAGTGGTGAACAAAAGTGGATACACAATTTCTAACCTTACGTGACTTATGGCCTAATAAAGGTAACAAACATTAATCACACAAAAGTAAAATTACAACTTTGTTGAGTGAAACAGAATAAATACGCTGTGAGGCTAAGAGTTCAATGATACCCTTTTCCTTGAAGTTTAGACTCATGTAAAATAAGACATAGGAGTATAAATGATTTTGATCATTTGATTTCAATTTGAGGAGGAGCTTTCCCCACACCAATAATAAGCCGTTGTTCAGGCACCAGCTGAGTGTCCTACAATTTGACTTAATTCTGGCACTATCCACCTGGAGATAGCATCCGATTCCACAGTTAAGGGTTCAGTCCTGTAAGATTCCACCCTACCCCCACTCAGGTGTCAGTTGCAAACCTAGGTTACCTGTGCTTCTAACCAGTTGGCTATAAATCAGAGGTTCCCAGGACCCTCTCCTTGGGTTCAGTTAATTTGCTAGAGTGGCCCATAGAACCTAGAGAAACATTTTATTTACTAGAGCACCAAGTTTATTAGAAAAGGATAGAACTCAGGAACAGTGTGGAACAGATGGAAGATATGCATAGGGCAGAGTTTGTAGGAAGGGGTATGGAGCTCCCCTTACCTCTCTAGGCATGCCACTCTTCTCAAGTATCTGTGTGGCTACCAACCTGGAAGCTCTCCAAACCCTCGTTTTGCGTTTTTATGGAGGCCTCATTACATAGGCATGGTTGATTAAATCATTGACCATTGGTGATTGAATTCAAACTCCAAATCCTCTTCCCTCCCCACAGGTTTGAGGCAGGACTGAGAGTTACAACCCCCTAATCACATGGTTGGCTCCACTGGCAACCAGCCCCATCCTTGGGTACCTTCCAAAAGTTACCATTAACACAACCAGAGCCACCTTTCCAATTTCATCAGTTAGGAAATTCCAAGAGTTTTGGGAGCTGAGAAATATATTTGGTCATCTGAATAATTCTGATCCTGATAAATGTTGCATTGGAGAACACCTCATGTGTGACAAAAGGTCTCTACTGTTTTCCACCCCAAATTGAGCTTGGTCCTCAAACTTCAGGCCATCCCTTTCGAAAGAGCAGAGCCTTGGGAAGTTTATGCACCTATCTATACCCTTCTTGCAAAAGGAAGATACAAAATGTGGAGGCCTAGAAATGTTTGGGATGGATACACTCAGTCTTTTTCTCTTGCCCACAAATCAGATAAATGACTCCCATGAGGAGGAGCCATTAAGGTTCTGAGGTGAAGGAATAGGAGGGGAAGTAGGGAGAGATGAAGAGTATTGATCCTAGTATAAGATTTCTCAAATTAAATTTCTTTTTTTTTTTTAAAGATTTTATTTATTCATGAGAGACACACAGAGAGAGGCAGAGACACAGGCAGAGGGAGAAGCAGGCTCCATGCGGGGAGCCCGATGCAGGACTTGATCCCAAGATCCCAGGGTCATGCTGTGAGCCGAAGGCAGATGCTCAACCACTGAGCCAGGCATCCCTCAAGTTAAATTTCCATTAATTATGAATATAGATACTGAATCACATTCGTTTGTAGCAGTACGTGTGGTGTTTTCCCCAACAGATAGCATAGCTATTTTCTTATTAACTTTTTATTTTGAAGTACTGTTTTTACACTTCACAACTTCAAAGTTCCAGTTATTAGATCTCCATTTAATGTATTAAGTACAAATACTGCTGTATAGGAATTTATTTTTAATATTTGATATCAGTATGTCAATATAATTGATTTCCTTTGTAGGCCTATGTATTTTATACATTTAAAACATTTTCTTTTAAGGCATCCATGCATTCATAGACTTTATCAGACTGCCCAAGCCATGATTACTAGGACTCTCTTATTTTTTTATTTAATTTTTTTATTTTTAAAGATTTTATATATTCATGAGAGACACACAGAGAGAGGCAGAGACACAGAGGGAGAAGCAGGCTCCCTGTAGGGAGTCTGATGCAAGACTCCATTCCAGGACCCCAGGATCAAGACCTGAGCCAAAGGCAGATGCCCAACCGCTAAGCCACCCAGGCTCCCCGGGAAGCTCTTTATTGAAACATGAAGCAAGAATGATGGTTCACTCTAATAGTTAGCATTTCATAATGCCTAATAAGTGAATGAAGAAATGTATTAAACCATGAATATTTTAAGTGCATGTTTTGATTCTCATTTCACTGCTTGGTAATACTAGAATTTTGATGCATGGTTTGCCTTTTTTTCCCCTTTGTATTCTCAGTTTTATTTCTTTCTGCAGAAGAACTTTTTGTTGCCACCATTATTGTAACCATTCATCCTTGCATCTTTGATTTGCTCAGTAGGCCTATAATACTGTGATCACTTGTTCATGCAAATAAAATACATAGTCGCTCAGAAATTCCAGGCACTCTACTAAGTAGATAGTAGGGATTAAAGAAATATAAAATCTACTCTTTCTTTTCAAAGAGTTCCTATCCTAGGTAAGTAAACCAAGAGTTAGAGCAAAGTAAAGTACTATGAAAAAGGCATACACAAAGGATGCTTTGGTCACTCAGAGGATAGGTCCTCAGTTGTAGAGAGTGGGTAGAGGAAGTCAGTTTAAGGAAGATTTCCTAACTGGGGTGACAGCCTTCAGAGATAAATAGAGGTTGACCAGGCTGTCTGTTTTCTTATGTGCCTGTGTGTGTGTGTGTGTGTGTGTGTGTGTGTGTGTGTAATAATCTAGACAGAATAAATATTCTTTGGGAACTAATAGTATAAGATGAATGTGAAGTTAGTATGAGAAATATGTCTGGGGGCCCCCAGGTGGCTCAGTTGATTAAGCATCTACCTTCAGCACTGGTCATGATCTTAGGGTCCTGGGATTGAGCCTCATGTCAGGCTCCCTGCTCAGCAGGAAGTCTGCTGCTCCTTCTCGCTCTGCTCCTCCCCCCACCCATACTTAGGCTCCCTCGCTCTCTCAAATAAATAAAATCTTTAAAAAAAGAAAAAAAGGAAATATGTCTGGAAAAATAAGCAGGGACCAGATGAAGTGTTTAGAAATTTGATATCAGATTTGCTTTTTGGTCAGATCTGTCTGTCTGACAGCGATGATTGAGAAAAGCAAGATTAAAGGAAAATAAGCCAGTTGAGAATTGTAATAGAATCTAGAAGTGAGTACCAATGAAGATGGAGGAGCCAAAACTAAAATATTTGGGAATTGGAAACTGAATAAGTAGTAGTAGGGACTGTGGTGGAGGGACTCTAGGAAGAGTTGCAACTCAGAAGCTACAAGAGTTTTTAAAGGAATACATGATCAGGAAGTAGAAGGCAGAGCGTTAAGTGTGGACTTCAAAGAGTCTCGCTATAAAGGGAATCAGAGTCTAAGGTAGCACTAGACGGGTATGCTTGTGTCAGGAGGGAGAAACTTATGTACATTATGGGACAGACACACTGAGATTGTTCTACAAACCCTGTTAGAACACTAATCATATTTAGGAAAGTTACAGGAGAAAAACTGAAAAGGTGAATCAAGACCATACTTTTTTTTGTAAAGATTTTATTTATTTATTCATGAGACAGAGAGAGAGAGAGGCAGAGATGCAGGTAGAGGGAGAAGTAGGGTCCCTGCAAAGAGCCCGATGTGGGACTTGAACCCCGGAATCTGGGATCACGCCCTGAGCCAAAGGCAGGTGCTCAACTGCTGAGCCAAGACCATGTTTCTTGAGGGCCCTAAAAACCATTTGATGAGTTTTCATTTATTTCAGTAGATTCTGGGGAACCACTAATGATTTTTTTTTCTAAAGATTTATTTATTTATGATAGACACACACACACACACAGAGGCAGAGACACAGGCAGAGGGAGAAGCAGGCTCCATGCCGGGAGCCCGATGCGGGACTAGATTCGGGGACTCCAGGATCGCGCCCTGGGCCAAAGGCAGGTGCCAAACTGCTGAGCCACCCAGGGATCCCCCCCACTAATGATTTTTTAACAGAAAATGTAATTAATTATATTTGCAGATGATTAATCTAGCATTTGGTTGGAGGAGAGTCTAAGGGTAGAGATGTTAGGGCGCCTGGTTGGATCAATCAGAAGAACATTTGACTCTTGATCTCAGGGTCATAAGTTCAAGCCTCACATTGAGAGATTACTAAAAATAAATAAACTTAAAATGTAGAAATGTTCATTAGCAACTATTATAATGAAATGGTAAGGAAGAGATGAATATAGAGAAATCAGTGGATTGGACATAATGGTCTAACCTCTAGAACAGGAAGTTGGTGTTTCAGGGAATGTTATGTATGTATAATTCAACCTGAATGGTTTCTCCTGGAATTACAAACCAGACTCTCATTTGATTCTGGCTGACTTGAAGAATAGTAGGAATGAGGAAGTTAGGAGGAGATACTAGTTGACCAGAGAAAACTAATGCAGTTCCTTTGTCTTAGCAACACGTATTCTGTATACATTGACTACTTCTCTTAAAGTCCAAGTCAGTATTCATTTTTTATAGAGATTTATTCTTTTAGTTTAAACAATTTTTTAAAATATTTATTTGAGAGAGGGAATGCACAAGCGGAAAGGGCAGAGGGAGAGAGAATCTCAAGCAGGCTCCACACTGAGCACAGGACTCAATCTCAAGACCCTGAGACCATGACCTGAGCTGAAACCAAGAGTTGGACACTTAACCAGATGCTTAACCAACTGTGCTGCCCAAGCACCCATAAAGTTTGATTTTTTAGTAATCTCTGCACCCAACATGGGGCTCCATCTTAAAACCCTGAGATCAAGAGCCCCACACTCCAACTGACCAAACCAGCAAGGTACTCCTACATTTTTTTTTTAAATAACCAAAAAATAGGATAACAGTAAACGGTACCTGAAATTTGGCATTTTGCTTTGTTGTCATATATAATTATTAATACCTACTGAAGGACAGCCAGGTTTCTAATTTTTTTGCTACTAAAACAACATATTGTAGTTAAAACTTTTGTATTTAGGGCAGCCCTGGTGGCTCAGTCGTTTAGTGCCTCCTTTGGCCTGGGGTGTGATCCTGGAGACCCGGGATCGAGTCCCACATCAGGCTCCCTGCATGGAACCTGCTTCTCCCTCTGCCTTTGTCTCTGCCTCTCTCTCTCTCTCTCTCTCTGTCTCTGTCTCTGTCTCTGTCTCTCATGAATAAATAAAAAAAATCTTTAAAAAAAAACTTTTGTATTTATATCTTTATACACTTATGCTATATATCTATAGGCTAGCTTGCGAGAAATGGGACTGTCTTGGGTTTTCAAGGTTTTTTAAAGGTTCTGCAAAATCACTTTCTGTAAAAATATACCAGTTTTAATCTCTCCAAGAGTACAATTTTATTTATTTATTGATTTTTAAAGCTTTTATTTATTCATGAGAGACACAGAGCGAGAGGCAGAGACACAGGCAGAGGGAGAAGCAGGCTCCCTGTGGGGAGCCCGATGCAGGACTCGATCCCAGGACCCCGGGGTCATGCCCTGGGCCGAAGGCAGACCCTCGACTTCTGAGCCACCCAGGCGTCCCCCAAGAGTACAATTTTACTACAACCTCATCTATATCAGTGCTCTTATTTCATCCTCACTTTAGTAACACATGTGTCGTCTTGATTATTTAAGAAATGAATAACAATTTGATGCTGAAAATTAGAGCTAAGATTTTTATTTACTCTTAACAGTGGTATTTTCACGAGTAGTAGGAAAGAACTCAGAGAAATCGGGGCACCTGGCTGGCTCAATCAGTGGAATATGAGGCTCTTGATCTTGGGGGTTGTTAAGTTCAAGCCCCATGTTAAGTGTAGACATTACCTAAAAAAATAGAATCTAAAAAAAGAGAAATGAGATAGTAATAATGTTCGTAGGATATCTCATATGTGACTCCTTTTGTCTTTTCTAGCTTGAAATACCTCTGGACTCCTTATGTATGCATGTTAGCAGCATTTGGTGTGTGTTCTCCTGAACTTTGGATGACACTTTTCAAGTGGCTTCGATTACGGACTGTACACCCAGTATTGTTGGTGAGTCATTGGTATTTTGGGTTAAGTTCTTGTTTCTCTTTCAATTATATAAATGGAAACCACATGGAATACAATTAAAATAGCATGAGTAAATCATATTTTGACTTGCAGGTGAAAGAGAGATCCTGTGAAAAACTCTTTTTTATATAATCTCTGATATAAAAGTAATGCATTGGGATGCCTGGGGGGCTCAGCAGATGAGCGTCTGCCTTCAGCCCAGGGCGTGATCCTGGAGTCCCGGGTTCTAGTCCCACATTGGGCTCCCTGCCTGGAGCCTGCTTCTCCCTCTGCCTGGGTCTCTGTCTCTCTCTTTCTCTGTGTACATCATAAAGAAATAAACTAACTTTTAAAAAGGTAATGTATTTAAATGCAGATGGATAGGGACACCTGGGTGGCTCAGCGGTTGGGCATCTGCCCTTGGCTCAGGTCATGATCCCCAGGTGTGGGGATGGAGTCCCACATCAGGCTCCCTGCCAGGAGCCTGCTTCTCCCTCTGCCTGTGTCTCTGCCTCTCTCTCCCTGCGTCTCTCATGAATAAATAAATAAAATCTTTTTAAAATGTTTATAATTAATAATTAATAATTTAATAGTATTCTTGGTTTGATTTAGAACTATTTTATGTTTTCAATGCAAATAGAACATTTTCACTGTGCCTGCCATGTACAATGTGCTTATAATGCAAATTAATTTCATCAGGTCGATTACAGTCTCCCATTCATAAAAATGAACAATAAGAAGTATCGATAGGGTGCTGTTGGAACACAGAGAGGGGCTACTTAATTCAATTTTGTTAGGGACTCAAAGACTTTTCAATCTGAGATTTGAAAGATGATGACTGGGGACGCCTGGGTGGCTCAGTGGTGGAGCGGCTGCCTTCGGCCCAGGGCCGGACCCCAGAGTCCCAGGCTCTAGTCCCACTTGAGGCTCCCTGTGTGGACCCTGCTTCTCCCTCTGCCTGTGTCTCTGCCTCTCTCTCTGTGTCTCTCATGAATAGATAAATAAAATCTTTTTTTAAAAAAAGATGATAACTTAAATGAAAGGTAAAGAAAGGGTTTTCATGGTAGAAGGAATAAAAACAGGCAAAGAGCATGTTGTCATCAAAGGAAATGAAAGCAAAGGCAAAGAAAAGGCATGATATATTTAATTTCTTTGGCACATAAAATGTGAGATGGAGTGGTCAAGAAATGATACTGAAGCCCAAGAGGGTAAGTCATGGAAGCCTTTGAGTATTATGCTGTGGTGCTTAGTTTTATCCTGGAGGCAGCAGAAATGCATTGAAATGTTTAGGCAGGGGCGTGAGAGAGTCAGACTTACATTGTCTCTTAGTTCATGCTTACCATTCTTTGAAGAATAGACTTAACGGTGACCATCTCAGTCCAAGAAGGAAGCTGTTGCCCAGGTACTGGCCATGGTAGATGGAAGTGATAAAAGCTTCAATATATTGAGTGTTCACCACATGTCAGGTACTGTTTATAAAACATTTCATGGGGGATCCCTGGGTGGCTCAGCGGTTTGGCGCCTGCCTTTGGCCCAGGGCGCGATCCTGGAGTCCCGGGATTGAGTCCCATGTTGGGCTCCCGGCATGGAGCCTGCTTCTCCCTCCTCCTGTGTCTCTGCCTCTCTGCCTCTCTCTCTCTCTCTCTCTCTCTCTCTCTCTCTCTCTCTCTGTCTATCGTGAATAAATAAATAAAATCTTTAAAAAATAATAATAAAATAAAATATTTTATGTGTCGATGCTTACAAAGACCCTAATAGCTAAGTTCTATCATCCGTAGGTTGTAGACAAAGAAACTGAGACTTAAACTGGTTAAGTAACTTGCCTGAGATCACATAGCTTATAAATGTGGAAACCATGATTCACACCCAGGTTTTTTGGACTCCAGAGCCCATTTACTTAATACTGTGCTATATTGGGGTGAGAAAAATAATAAGAAGGTTAATAAGACTTGGTGGCTTTATTAAATTAAGTATGGCGAGTAAGGAAGAGGGAGAAATCATAGATACTTCCTAGGTCTCTTGTTTGTGTGACTGTGGGTTGTGTGGTCACCAGTAGACATGGGACAGGAGGAAAAAGAACAGGTTCTGGCAGAGAGGTGATGAGTAAATATCTTTAGTAATAGTCCTGTTGTGTTTTGCCAGTCTTTCCAGAGGAATTTGTATGTTACTTTAGCATACTTGTGCATTGTTACGTATTGGCTATTTTTCCTGTCTTCTTCTTGTTAGTTTTGTAAGTGGCCCAGTTTAGTGTCCTTTGTAAGCTCTTTATAACTTAAATTCCTGGCAGAATTGTCAAATACTGATTTGTTACATGAAATATTACTGTTACCTTTTTTATGTTTTGTCTTTAATTTATATAGTAAATGCTTATATAGTAGTGTATAACTATTATAATACATATAGTAGTATGTTTCGCTTTATCTCCAGCTTAATGTATCTTAAATGCCTTAGTCTTCACTCATCTCACTCTGTGAATTAGGTTCCACACTAACTTCAGTTTCCCTGACTGAAATTTTTATGACTGTAAGAATCTGTGATTGGTCATGGAGTTAATGTCTAATACTTCTAGTACCTTCATAGATGTATTTATCCATAATCATTTTGTTTCAATGTTTTAGGCTCTTATTCTGAGCATGGCTGTTCCCACTATAATAGGTCTCAGCTTATGGAAAGAGGTAAGAAAATCAGATTTTTATATTGTTAAGATGTACTTTACCTACAACTTAGTGATAAATTTATGCATGTGTAACATATTTATATTGAGACACTATTCTAACAACATAAAGTATGATATTCTTAGTATGCTTAATTTTTTATCAGGAACATAGATTATATTAATTCTAGTAATAGAGCTAAAACATTTTTAGAACATCATGTGATGCACGTAGTCTAATGCTATTACTAATTCAATTTATAATTGTCAAAGGAAATTACTGAATAATAGGTGATAATATTAAAAAGTATTTTGGCATGAAAAACTGACAGCCAACATCATACTCAATGGTGAAAAACTGAGATTGTCCTCTAAGGTCAGGAACGAGACAAGGATTCCCACTCTCTCCACTTTTATTCGACATAGCCCTGGAAGTTAGAAGTCTTAGCCATAGCAGTCAGACAAGAGAAAGGAATAAAAAGCATCCAGATTGGCAAGGAAGAAGTAAAATTGTCACTGTGTGCAGATGACATGATACTATATATAGAAAACTCCACAAAGACTCCACCAAAAAAACTACTAGAACTGGGGTGCCTGTGTGGCTCAGTTGGTTAAGCATCTGTCTTCAGCTCAAGTCATGATTCCAAGGTCCTGGAATTGAGCCCGGCATCAGGCTCCCTGCTCAGCAAGGAGTCTGCTTCCCCTTCCACTCCCCTCTTGCCTCCCCCTGCTCGTGCTTTCTCTCTCTCTCTCTCTCAAAGAAGTAAAATCTTAAAAAAAACTACTAGAACTGATAAATGAATTGAGTAAGATTGCAGGATACAAAATCACTGTATAGAAATCCATAGCATTTCTATACACCAGTAATGAATGAAGCAGCAGAAAGAAAAATTAAGAAAACAATCCCATGTACAATTATACCAAAAATAATAAGATACCTAGGAATGAACCTAACCAAAGAGGTGAAAAACCTGTACTCTGGAAACTATAAAAGAACAATGGAAAAAAAATTGAAGATGACACAAAGAAATGGAAAGACAGTCCATGCTCATGGATTAGAAGAACAAATATAATTAAAATGTTACTACCCAAAACAATCTACACATTAATGCAATCTCTATCAAAATACCAACAGTATTTTTTGAAAATGCCAATAGAATTAGAACAAAAAAATCCTAAAATTTGTATGGAACCAGAAAAGACCTCAAGTAGCCAAAGCAAGTGTTGAAAAACAAAACTGGAATTACTGCATTTCCACACTTCAGGTTATATTTACAAAGGTGTAGTAATCAAAACGATATGGTACTGGCACAAAAATAGGCACATAGATCAATTGAACAGAATAGAAAGCCCAGAAATAAATCCACAATTCTAAATTATATAGACAATTAATCTTCAACAAAGGAGATAAGAATATGCAATGGGAAAAAGTTTCTTCAACAAACGATGTTGGGAAAACTGGACAGCTAAAAATGAATGTGGAGCGCTTTCTGACACTACACAAAAATAAACACAAAATGTATTAAGGACTTAAATGTGAGACCTGAAACCATAGAAGTCCTAGAAGAGAACACAGGCAGTAATTTTTCTGACATGGATCATAGCAACATTTTTCTAGATGTGTCTCCTGAGACAAGGGAAACAAAAGCAAAAATAAACTATTGGGATTATATCAAAATAAAAAACTTCTGAACAGCAAAATGTATAGCCAACAAAACAAAAAGACAACCTACTGAATGAGAGAAGATTTTGCAAATGATATATCTGGTAAGAGGTTAGTATCCAAAATATATAAAGAACTGGGACACCTGGGTGGCTCATTTCGTTAAGTGTCTGACTCTTGATTGCAGCTCAGATCATGATTGTGGGGTCCTAGGATTGAATCTGTGTCAGGCTCCGAACTCAGTGGGGAGTCTGCTCCATATTCTCTCTCTCTTTCTGCCCCTCCTCACCCACCATCCTCTCTCACTTGCTCTCTAAAAAAATAAATCTTTAAAAAAAATGGCAAAAGACAGAATTCTCCAAAGAAGACATAGATGGCCAAGAAACACAGGAAAGATGCTCAGCAGCACTCATCATCAGGGAAATGGAAATCGAAACCATAATGAGGTAACACCTCACACCTCTCAGAAGAGCTAAACTAAAAAACACAAGAAACAAGTACTGGCAAGGATGTGGAGAAATAGAAACCCTTGTGCACTGTTGGTAAGAATGCAAATTGGTGCAGCCACTCTGGAAGACAGTATGGAGGTTCCTCAAAAAATTGAAAATAGAACTACCTTATGAGGGGCACATCAGGCTCCTTGCTCAGCAGGGAGGCTGCATCTCCTTTCTCCCACTGCCTGCTGCTCCCCCTGCTTATGCTCTATCAAAAAAATAAATACAATCTTAAAAAAAAAAAAAAAAGAACTAACTTTAGATCCAGCAATTGCACTACTAGGTATTTACCCAAAGAATACAAAAACACTAATTCAAAGGGATACCTGCACTCCTATGTTTATTGCAGCATTATTTACAACAGCCAAATTATGGAAACAGCCCAAGTGTCCATTGATAGATGAATGGATAAAGAAAAAGTGTTCTACACACACACACACACACACACACACACACAATGGAATAATAATCAGCCATAAAGGGACGCCTGGGTGGCTAAGTGGTTGAGCAGCTGTCTTTGGCTCAGGGCATGATCCTGGAGTCCCAGGATCGAGTCCTGCATCGGGCTCCTTGCCTGGAGCTTGCTTCTCCTCTCTCTGCCTCTCTGTGTCTCTCATGAATAAATAAAATTTAAAAAATAATAACCAACCATAAAAAAGAATCATGCCATTTTCAGCAACATGGATGGATCTAGAGAGTATGCTGAGTGAAGTAAGTCCATCAATGAAAGACAACTACCATGTGATTTCATTCATGTGTAGAATTTAAGAAATAAAACACAGGAGAAAAGAGAAACCAAAAACCAGGCTCTTTAGAGAACAAACAAATGGTTACAGGAGGAGAGGGGGTTGGGGAAATGGTTGAAGTAGGTGATGGGGATTAAGAGCACACTTTACTTGATGAGCACTGAGTAATATATGAAATTGTTGAATCACTATATTGTACACCTGAAATGAATATAACAGTATGTTAACTACACTAGAATTGTTGAAAAAGTATTTTGATAACTCCAAAATTTAAATATTTATAAAATAATATAAGTCCTTTAGTTTATTGTAATGTAAAACTAATTGCTAATAAACCTGTGAATTATTTGACCTGAAATTAATTAATTGTGTGTTGAAAGATACAACTGATGATGAGTTATTTGGTAATGATAAAATTATTTATTGAGTCTACGCAATAAATTAACCATTTAAATAGATTTAATTATTTATTTTTAAGGATTTATTTATTTATTAGAGTGTGTGTGCACAAGTGGGCTTAGGAGCAGAGGAGAGAGAGAGGGAGCCGCAGACTCCCCACTAAGCAGGGAGTGCAATGTGGGCCTTGATCCCAGGACCCTGAGATCATAACCTGAAATGAAGGCAAACGCTTAACTGATTGAGTCACCTAGGCACCCCTAAAATAGATTATTTGGGTTATTTGGACTGAGAAGGATGAGCAGCACTGAAAGAAAGTAGAAAGATCCATGAAATTTTCCTATGAGCACAATGTTACAATATTGTCTTATGTTAGTCTCTTAGTCTTTTGAAATACTCTGTAGCAGTTTTAAACTTTCTGGATACTTATGCATACTTCTTGGAAATTTTGTTTTGCATTTTAGTTTTTTCCAAGATTAATGACAGAATTAATGGAACTACAAGAATTTTATGACCCAGATACAGTGGAACTTATGACCTGGATAAAGTAAGAATTGAACTGCTTTTAAGACTAATAATTGATTATTGCATGCTATCTGATTTCAGAGGAAATAATAAATTAATCCTTTTCCAAATTCTTCTCATAAAATTCAGAATTTTATTCCCATGCTTTTAGGGCTATTTAGTTTTCGATTGACAATTCTAATTTTCTAATTGAACTCTCCACTGAAAATATAGCATTGAGGGGCACCTGGCTGACACAGTCAGAATAGCATGTGACTCTTGATTATTTGGTTGTGAGTTCAGCCCCACGTGGTTGTAGAGATTACTTAAATAAATAAAAAACTTAAAAAAGAAGAAAATACAGCATTGATAAATTTGAGACTCTTGGCATCAAATACCTAGAAATGTGGAATATAAAGGAACAAATATTCCTTTAGATAATCAAGAGGATGCTTCTTTTGCCGTGGGTTGGAAATGGATGAGTGGTGGATTGCTAGTCTTGGTAACCAAGTATACCAAAATTTAAATTTTTAATTTTGATACCAATGCCTGTTTTAATGCCCACACAATACAGAAGATGTGGTTTTGGGCCAGTGGATGGTGGGGACTATAGTTAAGATACCTTTTTCCCTTTCCCAACACAGGCATATAACCAGGGGACCCTCAGAAGGCTACAGTATCAATGATAGACTAACAAATTACCCATAGAGTGCTAGAAGAAGATGATAAGAAAGTATGTCTTTCTTGGCCTCAGCTCTTGGTCAAAAAAAAGTCTCTCTGAATTTGTATCAGTGGATCTGAATTCACATGTGTTTGCAGGTTGAAATTAGGCTTGCTTAATCCAGAAAACCCCCAGGCAAGAAATTATCATAAAAAGTGGCCCTGGGTTGGTTTGGAGGGCCTGATAGTTTTCAACCCAGGCTATACAGGTTTCCACAAATAAAACTTCATGAAAATGAGCTCTAAAATTACAAAACACATGAAGAAATAGTCTAACACAGCAAGAATCAACTGTTGTTTGTAATAAACAGCAGAATTAGACCTCTAGCTACTTTTAAATTTATTTATCTATTTATTTACTTAAGTAATCTCTATGCCCAGTGTGACCCTGAGATCAAGAGGTGCATGCTCTTCTGACTCTACCAGCCAGATGCCCCAGACCTCTAGCAATTTCTAATAATAAAATTTGTTTATGTCAGTTTTTGCTGCATAATAGACTGCCACAAAACTTAGTGGCCACAAATGATAAATCTTTTTTATTTGTAGCATTTTGACAGTCAGCTGAATGGGGGCAGTGGGGAGGATTCTTCTGGTCTGGGGCAGCTGATCTGGGCCTGGGTAGTCTGGAATGGCCTCTCTCACCTGTCTAAAGGTATCAGCTGAGAGGATGGAATTGACTTGGCCCTGGGCCTCTCATCATCCATCCATGTAGCCTGGGCTCATTCACAGGGTAGTGGTCATAGAGTTCACGAGAGCATCAAGAGAGCACAAATGTCGTTGTCAAGCATTTTTAAAGTCTCTGCTCACTTTGTTGTTCTATTGGCCAAAGCAGGTCACTGAGCAAGACCAGCATTTGCTCCCAGAGCACAGGTATGGGAGGAGAATCTTTGCAGCCATTTTGCAGCTAGTCTACCCCATGGAAAGACACTATGAAATAACTACATTGAAAATTATTTTAAGACATAGAAGAAGAAATTAAAACATGAAAAAGAAATGAAACACTATCAAAAATAGCCAGGAAAATATGGAGGGGAAAGTAAAAATGTTTCTAGAATGAGGAATAAGTTTATAGAAGTGAGAATTGGTCTTATTACAAGGTCTTGTTACTGTAAATACACTCTTCATATTTCTAAGAATTGTTGTCTTTTGATCTCCCTTAACTGCTGCCCTTTAATATTTTTTTGTGAATTGTATTTACATTGTGGAAGACTGACTATATAGCTTTGTGTTATCAATTAACAAAAGAGGAAGTTAAGTCTGGGTGTGTGATTAACACAGTATTTTAAAAACCAGCACGGAGGCCTGAACATTGGACATTGTACACCAGGCAATAGGACATATATATTATGGTGGTATAATTATCCTGTTTCATGTTTGTTTCCCCATTACTGGGTGCACCCTGAGGACAGTAGCTGTGTGTCTTCTTTTATTTCCAGAGCTTGGCATTGTCCCTAGCATGTAGTAGGTGAATATTGAATACTGAAAGTGATTGAACAAGTAAAGACATTGGAGCAATCCTTTGGGATCTGCTTTTAGATTTCCTAGTTTTGTAAGTGGCATCTGTTTGGGACTTTGGATCATGGTTCAAAGAGAAGTTCTAGGGACCCCTGGGTGGCTCAGCAGTTGAGTGTTGGCCTTGGCTTGGGGCGTGATCCTGGGGTCCCGGGATTGAGTCCCACGTCGGGCTCCCTGCGTGGAGCCTGCTTCTCCCTCTGCCTGTGTCTCTGCCTCTCTCTCTCTCTCTCTCTCTCTCTCTCTGTCTCTCATGAATACATAAATCTTTAAAAAAAAACACACAACAAAGAGAAGTCAAGTCCTATATGTGTTATCTGTAGGCAGGTACATGGTAAAGGTAGGGAAAAAGCAGGAGACGAATGGATTGGGAAGGAGTGGGGTTGTGGTGGGGGATAAATTTGACAATTCACACTATCACCATTGAATTGACCACTCTGTATATAAGGTAGTAAATTCTTGTCACTATATATACCCTGCATTATTTTTTAATAGTATGTTTACCATCTGGTCTATATGTTTATTGTCCTTTTTCCAATCTCTCTCAAAAACAGAGACCTTGTCTCCACCCCACTTTAAAAAAAAAGTCTATATTTTCAGCATTCAAAATACTCCTGGCACATAATAAGTATTCAGATTTTTTTTAACGAATTCATAAATGAAATAAAACCTGACATTGAAACTCAAGTATACAATCATTGTTGAGTTGCCTGCTATTTCAGAGTTGGTATAAATCAGTGATCTAAATAGTAGTACCTTTTCAGTGTGTAAATCTGTGTGCTTCTTTGCAGAAGGCAAGCTCCGGTTGCAGCTGTGTTTGCAGGAAGTCCACAGTTAATGGGTGCAATTAAATTATGCACTGGATGGATGGTGACCAGCTTGCCTCTTTACAATGATGATGATCTTCTCAAGAGAAATGAAAATGTAAGACATCTTAGATCACACATTTGGATCTTTTTAACATTGCGCCTTATTTTAGTATCGTTCTGTAATGATGTATATGTTCCTGGTTAGCTAGGAAAATCCAAACAATTTTAGAGTCAATTAGCTTTAGTTTTTAAAAAGCTGTGTAATATGTTTAAGCAGGAGGAGAGCCAAAATTAAAATACTAAGTTCCTTATTTCATGAATAGTAAAATGATATGTTTCTAGGAGAAACATTTAATTTTCCACGAAGTTTCAAAGGAACTGCTATGTCCTATTTGGAAAATAACTTTGTTCTCAATTACATTATTGAAGAAAGGCTGTCAGTTAATATCTTTTTTTTTTAAGTTTTTTTTTTTTATTTATTCATGAGAGACAGAGAGAGAGAGAGAGAGAGAGAGGCAGAGACACAGGCAGAGGGAGAAGCAGGCTCCATACAGGGAGCCTGATGCGGGACTCGATCCTGGGTCTCCAGGATCACACCCTGGGCTGAAAGGCAGGCACTCAATGGCTGAGCCACTCAGGCATCCCTGTCAGTTAATATCTTGATACACTTTGTATTTCCAAGCTAAAATTGTATCTCATTTTGGTTTATTTTTCAGTATGGGCTGTTACTAATAACTTAGTGTAACGTTAGAATGATAATCTAATTACTATTCAGAGAATATATTATTTTGAATGTTTGGTCTGGATATAAAAGGTAACTTCATCTGAAAGCAGTAACTAACTGAACCTGAATTCCAAATACTCTCTTTTTCAGTTTGAAAGAATTTCATAAGGTTTTTAAGTATGCTCTAAGATGAGGTGGTATAGCAATATAGAATTTAGACACGAAGAATGCAGATTCTGGAATTAGAACACCTAGACTCAAATGCTCCTTCTGCCGTGTCCTAGCTCTGTGACCTTGAACAAGTTTCTTTTCTCTTTTTAAGATATTTTTTAAATTTTTATTTATTTTTTATTGGAGTTCAATTTGCCTCTTTTTAAGATTTAAAAACTTTTTTTAAAAAAATATGTTTTTAAGATTTTATTTATTTATTCATGAAAGAGAGAGAGAAAGAGGCAGAGACACAGGCAGAAGGAGAAGCAGGCTTCATGCAGGGAGCCTGATGTGGGACTCGATCCTGGGTCTTCAGGATCAGGCCCTGGGCTGAAGGCGGCGCTAAACCGCTGAGCCACCTGGGCTGCCCCTTAAATATATTTTTTAAAGATTTTATTCATTTATTTGACAGAGAGAGATTACACAAGCAGGGGGAGCAGCAGGGAGAGGGAGAAGCAGGCTCCCTGCTGAGAAGAGAGCCCAACTTGGGGCTCGATCCCAGGACCTTAGGATTATAACCTGAGCCGAAGGCAGATGCTTAACCAACTGAGCTATTCAGGTGCCCCTTTTTTTGTTTAACTTTCAGTTAACATACAGTATAATATTAGTTTCAGTTGTACAATATAGTGATTCAACACTTCTAATCTCTGCACCCAATGTGGGGCTCAAACTTACAACCCCGAGATCAAGAGTTACATGCTCTGCTGACTGAGCCAGCCATGAACCCTCTTTTCTTTTTCTATTTTTTTTTTGCATTTCCACAATGGCTTTTTTAAAAAAAATGGAAGTATAATTGACATGTAACATTATATTAGTTTCATGTGTGCAATGTAATGATTTGGTATTTATATATATTGCAAAATGATTACCACAATAAGTCTAGTTAATGTCTGTCACCATGATAGCTATAAATGTTTTTTCTTGTGCTGAGAACTTTTAAGATATACTCCCTTAGCAATTTTTGAATGTGCAATACAGTGTTACTGCTGTATAGCACACTCAAAATACTGTAAACATAGCAATACACTATGCTCTACACTTACTCTATAACTTTATGTTTGTGCCTTTTGACTCCCTCTACCCATTTTTACTGACCTCCCATCCCTTACCTCTGGCAACCACCATTCTTTTTTCTGTCTCTGTGAGGTTGGTTGTTTTGTTCTTAGATTCCACATGAAAGTGAGATCATACAGTATTTGTCTTTGTCTGACTTATTTCACTTAGCATAATATCCTCAAGGTCCATCCATATTGTTGCAAATGGCAAGATTTTATTCTTTTTTGTATATTCTTTTTTGATTTTATTTTTTTAAATAGTTTTCTATTTATAAGTACACATACACATATATACTATGTTTTCTTTATCTGTTCATTCATTGGTGAACATTTAGGTTGTTTCCATATCTTGGCTGTTATAAATAATGCTGCTGCAAACATGGGTTGTATATATCTTTTTGAATCAGTATTTTCATTTCCTTTGGATAAATACCCAGAAGTGGAATTGTTAGATGATGTGGCAGTTCTATTTTTGAATTTTTTTTAACGATTTTATTTGTTTATTTGAGAGAGAGGGAGAAAGCATGAGCAAGGGGTGGAGCAGAAGGAAGGATAAGCAGGCTCCCCACTGAATGGGGAGCCCCATACGGGGCTTGATCCCAGGACCACGGGATCATGACCTGAGCTGAAGGCAGATGCTGAACCAACTAAGCTACCCAGGTGCCCCTATTTTTAATTTGTTTGAGGCAACTTCATACTGTTTTCCTTAGTGGCTGTACCACTTTACCTTCCCATCCACAGTGCAAGTGTTCCGTTTTCTCCACAACCTCGGTAGTACTTCTTATTTTTTGCCTTCTTGATCCTAGCCATTCTAACAGTTGTGAGATAATATCTCATTGTGGTTTTGATTTGCATCCTCTGATGATAAATGATGTCAAGCACCTTTTCATGTACCTGTTTGCCATCCATTTTTCTTCTTTGGAAGAATGTCTATTTAGATCTTCTGCCCATTTTTTTTTCTGCCCATTTTTTAATCAGATTTTTTTAAAATTGAGCTGTATGAGTTTTCTATATATTTTGGATATTAACCTCTGATCAGTTATGTGATTTGTGAATATTTTCTCCTATTCATTAGGTTGCCTTTCATTTTGTTGATGGTTTTCTTTGCAATGCAGAAGCTTTTTAGTTTGATGTAGTCCCACTTGTTTATTTTTGCTTTTGTTGCCTTCATGTTTGCTGTCAAATCCAAAAAAATAATTGCCAAGACCAATGTCAGAGACTCACCACCTGGGGTACCCGGGTGGCTCAGTTGGTTGAGCGTCTGGCTCTTGGTTTCAGCTGGGGTCATGATCTCAGCTCAGGGTCCTGGCATCGAGCCCCAGATCGGGCACTATGCTCAGCAGGGAATATGTTTGAGGATTCTCTCTCTCTCCTTCTCTCTCAGCCCCGCCCCCTATTCTCTTCCTTTATTTTACAAATAAATAAATTTTGTTTTAAAAAAAAAGAACTTACAAAAATAAAAAAATAAAAAAATAATAAAAAAAATAACTTACCAATTATGTTTGCTTCTAGATATTTTATAGTTTCAGGTCTTACATTCAAATTTCTAACCCATTTGGGTTAATTTTTGTGTATTGTGTACAATAGCAGTTCAATTTCATTCTTTTGCATGTTGCTTTGCAGTTTTCCTAGCTTCATTTATTGAAAAGATTGTCCTTTTCCCATTGTATTTTTTTTACTCCTCTGTTGTAAATTAATTGACCATGTGTGCGTGGGTTTATTTCTGGACTCTCTGTTTTGTTCCATTGATCTACGTATCTGTTTATCCTGGTTTGGATTATTGCAGCTTTGTAATATAGTTTGCAGTTAGGGAGCCTGATTCCTCCAGCTTTGTTCTTTCTCAAGCTTTCTCTGACTCTTCAGGATCTTTTTTGGTTCCATACAAAATTAGGATTGTTTGTTCTATTTCTGTGAAAAATGCAATTGGAATTTTGATGGGGATTGCATTGAATCTGTAGATTGCTTTAGGTAGGTAATATGGTCATTTTAACAGTATTAATTCTTCCAATCGATGAAACTAGAATATCTTTCATTTGTGTCTTCTTCAGTGTCTTTAATTTTGAGAAGTTTCTGAATCTGGAAATAATAATAGTTCTTAAGTCCTAGTTGTGAAAATTAAATGAGAGAATGCATTATGCCTGAAACATAGTAAACCTTAAATATTAGTTATTATTATGTTCTTATTTACTATTAAATTATACATGCACACACACAGAATCATTGAAAGTATGAAGAGGAGCTCAAAAGCAGGAATAATCAGTTCTGCCTTCAAAAACCCAAGTCTTCATTAATGGCATTCCATTGATCTGGGCTTTGAAGAACTCTTAGAAACTTGTTTGGAAAAAGAATGCATATGATTCCAAGTTGAAAAAGTAACATGAGCTATGAAATTTGTATAGCCATAGCCATGAAACTAAAAAATAAAATTAGGCCAAATTCTGAAGGACCTGGACTGTCATGCTGAAGAATTCAGACTTAACCCTTGAGGCATTTGGGAGTTATCAAAGACCTTTAATAAGCCTGGGAATGGAATGCTTAGATCTGTTTTTGAGAGTTAATTATGGTCAGAGTAGAAAGAACGATTGAAGCAGGGAGAGGTCAGAGATGAAGAGATCTACCTGGGAGTGATTTGTGTGAAAGACAACAGCTGCCTTTGACTAGTATTTGCTGTACTTTGAAAGGGTAGAGTCTCTTAGAATGTATAGAGCATATTTCTGAACTTTATTTTTTGTGGATTTCTTTGTTGTCTTATGAATTAGTCTTTTCCTAATATAGAATTTCATAATCACTTATAATTAGGTCAGACTTCTAATTAGGTTTTAATAAAATTTAAACATTCATTTTAGAGTTTAATGTTTTGTGTAACTTGACTATGAGAATAGGAACGATTTTCTTTTCCAAAACTTTGTCTTTCTCTATAGTGTCTAGTACGTAGCAAGTACTGAATACATTTATTGTTAAACTAAAATTCATGGGATCCCTGGGTGGCGCAGCGGTTTGGCGCCTGCCTTTGGCCCAGGGCGCGATCCTGGGGACCCGGGATCGAATCCCACGTCGGGCTCCCGGTGCATGGAGCCTGCTTCTCCCTCTGCCTGTGTCTCTGCCTCTCTCTCTGTGTGTGTGACTATCGTAAATAAAAAAAAAAAAAAAAAAAAAATTAAAAAAAAAAAAACTAAAATTCAAATCAAACTCCATAAATGAGACCATATAATTTGAATTAGGTACTATCTATAATTCATGACATTTAACTAATCTTTGTATAATCTCCTAGGCCAGTGATTCTCAAATCTGGGACTGTTAGGCCCCTGGGGGCATTTGGCAATGAGTAGAGACATTTTGACTGTTCTAACTATAGAAGAATTCTACAGATATCTAGTGGGTAGGGACCAGGAATACTGCTGAATATCCAACAGTACACATAACAGTCTTCTTCTGTCCTAACAAAGAATTATGTAGCTCAAAATGTCAATAGTGCTGAGATTGAGAAACCCTATCTATCAGTTCTGTTATTGACATTGCAAAGAAGTGGGCTTTTTTAAATGCCCCATGAATATGTTACAGTTTCTCAAAATTTAAGAATATATGTGAAAAACAATAAATAGAAATAGACTGGAAAGAACTATTTCCATTGAAATGTATTTAAGGGAACCCTGGGTGGCACAGCGGTTTGGCACCTGCCTTTGGCCCAGGGCGTGATCCTGGAGACCCGGGATCGAATCCCACGTCGGGCTCCCGGTGCATGGAGCCCGCTTCTCCCTCTGCCTATGTCTCTGCCTCTCTCTCTCTCTCTCTCTGTGACTATCATAAAAATTAAAAAAATAAATAAATAAATAAAATTTATTTAAAAGTAAAATGAGGGGCACCTGGATGGCTCTGTGGTTGAGTGTCTACCTTTGGCTCAGGTCATGATCCTGGGGTTGTGGGACCAAGTCCCGCATCATGTTCCCTATAGGGAGCCTGGTTCTCCCTCTGCCTATGTCTCTGCCTCTCTCTTGTGTCTCTCATGAATAAATAAATAAAATTGTTAAAAAAAAAAAAAAGTAAAGTGACTGAGAAATTTCCTCTTGGTTTATTAGCATTCTGTATACCAGAATATTCAGGTGAGTATCTCTATCATTGGTGGACGTCCATTGGACCTGATGGCGCTGGATAGACAACAGTCATAACATGTAGTAGGTGGCTGCTGAGTATCAAATAGTTTAGGATCTTGTCCAATCTAGATTTCAAATCAGTATTTTTAGGACATATAGTATATGGTGCTTTTGGTTTAACATTTTTTATTTTATTTTTTTCTAAAGGGTAGCAAGAGTTAGTCCAATGTTAGCATTTCAGAAAACCTGAATAACTTTATTATCTAATAAGATCCAGAACTTACTATGTGATAGGATCAGCAAAATTGTAATTAAAAATACCACAGAATCAAGACAAGTTTTAAGCATTTTTGCTCATTGATTATTTTGTGACAGTGGTCAAATTATATTTAATCTTGCTGATTTTATCTCATGTATAAATGAGTATAAAATACTCTGTACATGGGGGGGAATCCCTGGGTAGCTCAGTGGTTTGGCGCCTGCCTTCAGCCCAGGGTGTGATCCTGGAGTCCCGGGATCGAGTCCCACGTCGGGCTCCCTGCGTGGAGCCTGCTTCTCCCTCTGCCTGTGTCTCTGCCTCTCTCTCTCTCTCTGTGTCTCTCATGAATAAATAAATAAAATCTTAAAAAAAAAATACTCTGTACATGCTAAGAAAGTAGGAACCATTCTAACTCAATAATAAAAAGACAAGGGGATCCCTGGGTGGCGCAGCGGTTTAGCGCCTGCCTTTGGCCCAGGGCGCGATCCTGGAGACCCGGGATCGAATCCCACGTCGGGCTCCCGGTGCATGGAGCCTGCTTCTCCCTCTGCCTGTGTCTCTGCCTCTCTCTCTCTCTCTTTCTCTCTGTGACTATCATAAATAAATAAAAATTAAAAAAAACACAAAAAATAAAAAGACAAGCCAATTAGGAAATGGGCAAAGCCCATTTGCAGCAATGTGGATGAATCTTGAAGGCATTATGCTAAGTGAAAGAAGTCAGATAAAGACAAATAACTGTATGATAGCCCTTAAATATGGAATCTAAAAAAGCCAAATTCATAGAAACAGTAGTATGGTGGTTACCAGGGGCTGGAAGGTAAGGGCATGGGGACATGTTGGTCAAAGTGTACCAACTTCCAGTTATGAGATGAGTAAGTTCGGGGGATCTAATATACAGTATGGTGATTATGGTTAATAGTACTCTATTTTTTTAAAAAAAATACTGTATTTACATACTTGAAAGTTTCTAAGAGAGTAAATCTTAAATGTTCTCATCAGAAAAAAGAAATGGTAATTATTTGACATGATGGAGGTGCCAGCTAATGTTATGGTGGTAATAACTGTGCAGTATTTAAGTGTGTCAAATCAATATGTGGTATACCTTAAACTTGCAAACTGTTATGTGTCGATCATATCTTAGTAAAGCTGGGGGGAAAATGGCCAAAGGATTGAATGAACATTTCTCCAAAGAAGACATACAGTGGACAGTGAGTGAATTGTGTGAATGTAAGCTTCTTGAGGGCAGGAATCAAGTCTTAGTAAATAGCTTTATTTTCCATAGATAGTGCTTAATACTAAGTCTTAGTAGATGTTTCAAATAACACATTTTAAATGTTTTTGAATTACTGTTTTAATTCTATTCTTTCAGATCTATCAGATCTATTCAAAGCGATCTGCTGAGGATATTTATAAAATACTGACATCCTACAAGGCTAATTACCTAATTGTAGAGGATGCTATCTGCAATGAGGTCGGAACCATGAGAGGCTGTAGGGTGAAAGATTTATTAGACATTGCAAATGGCCACGTAAGTAACCACTTGAGAGGTTAAATCTCTTTGAGAAAAAGACATTTTAACTTTTACTCTTCAAACTTATTTTTGGGACTTAACTAAGAATATAATTAAAAGTGATATAGCAGCGCGGGGGGGGGGGGAGCATTAAAAGTAGTTTGAGGGATCCCTGGGTGGCACAGCGGTTTGGCGCCTGCCTTTGGCCCAGGGCGCGATCCTGGAGACCCGGGATCGAATCCCACGTCGGGCTCCCGGTGCATGGAGCCTGCTTCTCCCTCTGCCTGTGTCTCTGCCTCTCTCTCTTTCTCTCTCTGTGACTATCATAAATAAATAAAAATTAAAAAAAAAATAAAAGTAGTTTGAAGTATTTTTTTCAATGTACAAAAGAAAATTTGGGCATTTTTGCAGAAAAAAATTTTACCAATACCTGGATTCCTTATTCATTGCCTATACTTTGTATCTCACATTTATGTACAAAAGATGGCATAATTTGATTTGAACAATGATTTTATTTTAGCTTATTATAATCTAAAGAGCAGCTGGTTGCATTGTTACATTATGTTGAGAATTTTCTGATAATTTGATTTATAGCTAGAAAAATTGCTTACTAAATCATCACAGTCCCTATTATCCACAAAAGTTAGTATATTCAGAGCTCCTTTGGTTTTTAGGATTTAGCTATATTTTAACTTTTCATTGACTTCAGCTATTTGACCAAACCTTTTTACTTCTCAGCCTGTAATGCATATATTATATATCTGGCAACTAAAAAGAGGAGTTTATATATCTGGTAATTAGTGTTGTCTGGAATGGGTGCCTTTACTCCTGGGAAGTTGCGGTTGGACGACCTTAGAATTTCAGTTGGCCATTTTGAGTTGATATGCATGTTCTATTCAGGTAGCAACCAAGATTTTTTTTCTGTCTCTTCCTAAATAATAAGCTCTTTCTCTTATTGTCCCAGACCAGTTTGGAGGTGAGAAATTAGTTTTTATGATTTCCATCTTTGTCTTTCCTCATGACTCCTTAATTCTGGAAAATAAGTGTATTCTGTTTTCTGCTTCATGTATTTTGAATTTCCTCTTTTTGGTACTTGATATCTGTGATCTTTGGCCTAATGGGTGACACCATGGAATTTTATTAAACATCAGGTATTCAGTAATTACTGGTGTGTTGCTGCCTGCTGTCTGGAGCCTTTTAATTCTGATCTTGGCTATCTTTCTGTTCCATTTTAAAGATCAAATTACTTCTTTCATATAATACCAGGGACGGACTTAAAGCTACTTCATTTTTTTATTCTAAAAGATGGTTCTCTGACATTTTTCCTCAGCATTAGGAGAATGTTTAACATTTTAGTATAGAAAACCCTTCAAACTAGTTAGGCTGTCTTAGTGAACATCATTAAAGTGAGAATATAAAGATTTTCACTGGGTAAGTCACAAAAACTTGATTACTAGATAATTGTGAGTCATTTCTACATTAGAAGAGTTTGAATATATATTAAGAATGTGTCCATTTCTTAGTCTTAGTAGGCTCCATGATAAGTTAGAGGAGTGATAATGAACTAGGGAGACAGTCTTCTATATTTAAGGATTTTTATATCTTTTTGAAAATTGGAAACACTTTTTACTGATTTCTCAATTTCAGTGGGAAGCTGAAGAGTTTAATGGAAATGATGACTCTGTTAATAAAGTGGGTTCTAGGGTTGCTTAACAATGTAAGATCATCTTAGTCCATGTATAGCAATAATATATTTTTTATATCAATAAGTCACTTGTACATTGTATTTCTCTTATAAACTTAATAGCTTTTTTAATATTGTGTTTCATATCTTTCGATAGGTGGTTTGTGAAGAAGGTGACAAGTTAACCTACTCAAAATATGGGCGATTTTGTCATGAGGTCAAAATTAACTATTCTCCATATGTGAATTATTTCACTAGAGTGTACTGGAACAGATCCTACTTTGTATATAAAATCAACACTGTGATATCCTTTCAGTCTTGAAAGATAGCAGAGCCTTCATTTCAAAGACTTATATCACTTGAAGTAAAATGTGATTTTCTTCTTACCTACATGGTGTATTTTAGAAATCAGAGTATGGACGTTTGAAATGTTGCTGCTGCTTTTTCCCTCTTTGCTATTAACTGGATCCAGAGTTCTGTGGGGTATAGAACATCAGGCATTACTGTCCTTTGGTAAAATGTCCCATCTACCACTCTGTAATATTCTGGTCAGATGTTTTCCTTATCGTTACATGGTCTTTAAAGACTTTATCTTCTCATTATCTTCTCAACTATTATAAAATTGTCCTTATAAATCTTCATTCTGTCATAACATAGGTCTTGAATTTGAATATGTTCAATGTCAGAGTATATTTCTCAAACATAACATTTAATAAATATGTCATTTAATGTCATATAATTATAGACTAGAAGGAAGGACCTCTTCTTACCCTCAAGGCAGTTCTGAAGGTATTTCATGGTTTATAATAGAATTGAATGTTAAAATAAAAACCAATTTAAATGTTAGCTGAAACTATGTGACATTTAAATTAAAATTTATAAATTGTGTAAAGGAATGTGATTTGATGGATATACACATAAAGATATATCCAGATTTTCCATGATACTGCTCATCATCTGCTCATCATCTGCATTATATAACCATGCACTTTCTTAGTAAAATATAGTACATGATCTTGCATTTTATTATTTTACAACTATTAAGTGGTTAGCTTTTTTCACTTATGCTCATAAATTTAATATCAATTTAATCATGATAAAACAGTAGCTCTTGTTACCTAAATATTTTTAAAACAGACATTTAAAAGAATGTTCAGGTTTTTGAAAGATATGGAATGGGATATACAGCCTATTCACATTTTCTACTGAAGTATTAAGTGAAAAATTAAATCTTCACAAGAATAAGAATATTCTGACATTAGTGACTAAAATGACAAACTAAAATGAACAATTTCTGGGAAGAAATGGGCTGATGCTATTAAACATATTTCTGCATACAGATCTGTTTATTATAAAACACAAATGCTATTATTTAAGAAACAGTGGTACAGTCTTCAACATTAAGAACAAAATGACAATTTTAATAACATTCACAACAGTTTCACAACCTAAACGCAACATTCCTTTAGGTTAAACGTTTTCATATTTTTAATCATTTATTAATAGAAATTATTAAATGATTAGTTGGGCTGTATAAAGAGATTCAGGATAGATGTATCATTTTAATAAGATGGGATGCATGTTTAGTTTTACCTTATACATATGTTTAGTGAACAGATTTTTAAAATTTTCACTTTTTAGAGTGCTGTAAAATTGCATTTTAAGTACTCTGAATTAACTGCATTAGAAGGGAGCATCTTTTCATTATCTTTATTTTTTTGTTATATATATATCTTTGTTGTTTTGTTTTTAAGTAAAAAAGCACAAGCATTCTTAAGCTCTAGGATGCTTTGCTTTTTTGGATCCTCATAATTGTTTGATGGCAGTGTCATATATCTAATGCACTAGTTTTATTTGTTCTCATTTCATGCTTTATATAATTTGTAACAGTTATATTAACATAGTTGAAGGTAGGGCATATCAGGTTATCTATACATTTTAATAGTGAGTCACCAGTATTTAGCTTCAAGCCTTATGAAAATATTACTGTGGTTACCTGAGTACACAGTGAATAGTTACCTGGTGGTCCTTGTGATCAGAGCATGTAAAACAATGCAATTTCAAAGTCAGCTTGCATATTTTGAAAGGGAAATAGAATAACATAAATAGCATGAAATATTTAATTGAATTTTTATTGATTTATATTATCAATTATGCTGAGTTACTTTGTGTGTTTTTTGTTTTTGGCTTTTGACATATACATACTAATAAGTTTCTTTTCCTTCTGTCAACTTTTTAAAATAGATTTGGAGAAACTTACTTTTTTAAATGATAAATTTTTTAGTCAGCATCAGTTGAAAAGGAAAATGTAAGGTTTATTATAGAAGTAACTACTGGATATAAGAAATTAGCTTACTTGCTTCTATTTTAACTGTAGTTAAAACAGTAGCAGTAGAAAACTTTGAGTGAGGAGCATTTAATTTCTTTGCCTATTTGTAGGGTAATAAATGATTTAAAGTTTTGCAAGTAATTCCATTTGGGTAACTTTCAGTTGTTGATTTGACAATAAAAATCTATGAAAGGAAACAAAGTGTATGGTTTTAGGATGGAAGCAGTTTCTCAAAGAAATACAAAACATACTTTGCCCTTGATGTTGCAAAAGCATTGAAATAAGTGCCTTAACTTTTGTTTACTTCTTATTGTTCAAAAATTACTATTGACTTTTTTCTTTTCTGTAAGAAGATTTTGATATCTTTTTCCTCATCATTAAGCACAGAGAAAGACTCCTCACTATGATATTTTCAGTATTAACTTTATTTCATTAATAAGCAAATCTTTGGTAAGGGTCCCAAGGGGATTTCTAGCCTGCTAAATTAATTTATTTAGCTTCCCAAATGCCAGTCTAACAAATAAAAATTGATAAGCTGTATGGTATTGACTCTGTGCTGGTTTATATTTTTTTCCAACTTTGAGATCTGTAACTTGGTGCTTTTTGTTAGACTATCCCGGTATCACAGCCTCGGGAGTATGCATTGTACTTCAGGACTAACTTTTTTTCCTTTTTTTAACTTTTTTTCTTCATTGCTTTTTGAGTACATAGATGGCATGTTTCTTCAGGACATTAACCCAGACCACCAGTAGCCTCACTGTTGTGGCGCTCTTACATGTACTCCAGGTTGATTCGAGGAAGAGCAGAAATGGAGGTCAAAGTGTGTTACATGTTGGGGCTGGAAAATATGCTTTAAAACAGTAGGTTATTAATTTCTTGAAGGGCACAGTGAACAGCCATCTTACTCAACTGTTTTGTTTTTGGAAAACCACTTGTTTTTTGACCCTTTCTATTTTTGAACTGTTAAAACATTTTATTGCCTTTAGTGTGTAGACAAAAGTAGTGCCTCTCTTTATAAAATTGATGGGATTTCTAAAAGTTGTATGTAAGTCGATCTTTTTGGTAAATTTATTTTAAGTGCATGAATATTTAAAAATCATGTGTTACAAATTATTCTGTATATTTAAGAACCTTTTGTAAAGCAAGTAACTACTTCATAATTTACATCCCAATATATGCTCTCATTTGTCCACTTTTAAAAATATATAGTCTCTATTGTTGCTATTTGTTAATAGTCTTAGATCTCGACATGTATTAAAATCACAACTTTAAAAAGTTGTAAGTGAAATTGAGCAATTTCTTCTTAAAATAATAGCTCATTATTAACCTTTTGAATGTTTAGAGTTTAATATTTTAAAATTAGATTTGAAAATCGCAAAGAATATATTTTATTCAACTATTTTCCATCCATTAAGTTTTCTATACATTATACCTACTTGTTTTCTGTAATAAAAAAGGGTTATTTAAACACCAGATTTGGCAAATTTAGCAAAGAGTCCTCTTTCAATCATTTGCTTATGTCCCGTAGAATTTGTAACATTTTACTCTTGGCTTATGAAATTCTAAGTGCAGTTCTATGAGAGATACAGTGAACATCTGACCACTATATTTAGTGGAATAATGGTATCAGATAGAAAAATGCATTCCAAACTTCTAGTTTGAGATATCTCATAAACAACTTTTTAATATTTTAAGTTGGTAGCTTTGTACAGCTATTTAGCAAAGATGAATACAGCTGCTATTATGTATGTTGACTTCTGAATCATATCGCTAATAATGTATAACAGATTAAATGTGTTCCTCCTGTACTAAAGTTACATCTTTCCAAAAGAATAAAAGTTAATTTCAATAAATATAAATCCTTTTAAAGAGTTGGGTTATAAAGTAGTTTACTTCAGATTTTGTAACATTAAATGTACTTTTATCAAGAATGAAATTATTTATTTCATGCTTAATTACACTCCTTGTTTTGTTTCTATAATAAAACTTTTTAGAATTTTAAGTTGTCTTTCATTTATGTGTATCTTTGTTTAGCTTTAATGAGACATAACTTATATACTATTTAATTCACTCATTTAAAATGTATAGTTCAACAGTTTTTAGTATATTGAGTTGTGCAGTTATCACCACAATTAACTTTAGAACATTTTTAGCATCCCAGAAAGAAACCCTATACCTTTTGGCTGTCACCCTAAACCACTCTATCCTTAGTCAACTCTTACTAATGTACTCTCTGTCTCTGTATTTGCCTATTCTGGACATTCCACGTAGATGGACTGGACATTCCAATAGATGGAATCATGATATATGGTCTTTTGTGACTGGCTTCTTTATTTAGCATAAGGTTTTCAAAATCCATTCATGTTGTTGTAAGTATCCCTTTATTGCCAAATAACATTCCACTGTATGGATGTACCACATTTTGTTTATCTGTTCACCAATTGGTGGATGTTTGGGTTTCCACTTTCTGGCTATTACAAACAATCCTTACTATGAACACTTGTGTACAAATTTTGGGGTGGTATGGGTTTTCCTTTTTCTTGAGTATATATCTAGGAGTAGAATGATAAACTGCTTACATCCACTAGGATGGCTGTTCTCAAGGAGCAAGGTAATGAGCAAGTGTTGGCAAGGAGAGGGAGAAGTTGGAAAGCTCATACATTGCTGCAGGGATTGTTAAAGTGGTACAGCCGTTTTGAGAACCAGTCTGGCAGTTCCCCAGTTACCACGGTTATCATAGAACCCAGAAATTCTACTCGAGTTGGATGCTCAACCGACTGAGCTACCCACATGTCCCGATGGAGCATTTTTACTATGTGTTTGAAGTAGATCTTACATGTATCCTACTTGTAGTTTGTTGAGCTTCTCGGTTACATACATTAAGAATTTTCTTTAAATCAAATTTGCAACTTCTCATATTCCTGTTGTACTTATGGTGGTGTGTTTAATGGTGACCCACATTTCCCTGAGGCTCTGTTCACTTTTCATTTTTTTCCTCTTTGTCCTTTGAATTGCATAACCTCTATCAATCTGTCTTCAAGTTTGCTAATTTTGTCGGTTCGAATCTACTTCTGAGACTCTCTGAATTTCCATTTGGGTGTGTGTGTGTGTGTGTGTGTGTGTGTGTGTGTGTGTGTGTGCGCGCGCACGTCTGTACCGTTATTCTCTCTATTGATGTTCTCTATTTATAGTAACTGTGGGTACCCCCTGGAGCTTGTTATTATAGTTGGCTTATTTGCTGAGCTTCGGCTGAACTATTTTAGTGATGTCTGTTTCCTCCACACTCTGGAGCCTCTGATGTTGGTCCTCAGACACCACCACCCTGAGCAGGTACACGGTCACCCCGGGGTGACTGTGGTTTTAGCAGGGCTTGGACCGTCCCTTTCTTTGGTCTTATGCAGCTGTGAAACTCTACTAGTCGTATCTCCAGCTTGTTGTATTGTTTTGTCTTTTTTTAAGGTTTTATTTATTCATGAGAAACACAGAGGAGAGAGAGGCAGAGACACAGGCAGAGGGAGAAGCAGGCTCCGTGCAGGGAGCCCGATGCGGGACTCGATCCTGGGTCTCCAGGATCATGCCCTGGGCTGAAGGCAGCGCTAAACTGCTGAGCCACCAGGGCTGCCCCGTTGTATTGATCTTCTGAGGCATAAATTGCTCCACAACCTGATCCAATTAAATCCTGTCTCCTTTGAAGGGGTAGTTTGGTGGTAGTTGGGGGAAGGGGGAGCAAATGACTATGGTTTGTCCTAATGCCAAGAGGGCTCTTTGCTGTCTCTTTCCTTGCTTCTTCTTAATTGCTTTCCACCAAAATCTTTGTTGTTTGGAATACCCTTAAGCTTGAACTTCCCTGCACTCTTTCAAACAAAGACGGTTCTTCTGGAGATAGCTCTGGAGCTCTCTGTTGTACGTCCTGGTTTTCTCTGGGCAAAAATCACTGAGCCACAGTGCTGTTGCTGGCACTGGGGGCAGTTGTGTGTCTACACGGCATTCCTACTTGAGGAGCAGGCAGGCTTCTGGGTGGAGATGATAGCCTCTGTGGTCTTGAAACGACTCTCCCAATCCGGAACCTTCACCCTCTGAGTCGGCTGGGGTGACAATGACCAGTGTGCCATGCCTAAGAGTCTCTACTCTTTAAAAAAAAATTAATTTTTAAAGATATTATTTATTCATTCATAAAAGACGGAAAGGGAGGCCATGGGAGAGGTAGGCTTGTCCCAGAGCAGGGAGTGGGATCCCAGGACCCTGGGATCCTGACGTGAGCCGGAGGCAGGCCCGAAATGGAATGAGCCGCCCAGGTGCCCAGAGTCTCTACTCCTAACCTGGGGGCTGGTTGTGATGAGAGAAAAACTCTTTTAAAATCCCAGTGTACAAGGGAAATCACTTTTGAGGTCTTTTTAAGTCAACGTGATTGTATATAAATTGTGTTGGAACCGAAAGCCTGACTTGTGGCCCAGCATGTATGCGTGGCACATCTGCTTCCAGAATGAGTAGCGGAAAGGAAAAGCATTGCCCCTGAGATGGCTGTGCCTTCGTGTCCCCAGGCCCTGCATTCCTTTACCATAGAACCTGAGTCCTGCCTGTCCGCTAATCTTCAATCCATGAGCTTTTTACAAGATGCGAAAAGGTACCTCACCCTGTGAAAACCCTTCATTTCCCAGAACACTTTTTTTTTTAAAGATTTTAAGTAATTTCTAGCATGGGGCTCGAACCCACAACCCCGAGATCAAGTCACAAGCTGCCCTGAGCCCGCCAGGCCCCCGCAGAGCACTTTGTGCCCCGTGAAGAGTGTTTCCTGGGCCGCTGTCCGGCGTGGGCTGGAATAACCCTCCTTTTTTCCCTTTTAGAGCTCGCAGGAGGTTTGTTCGAGCTGTGCTGACAGGTGGGGAAGGGAACCCTCACCTTGGCCTCCCCTGGGGGCCGCGGCGTTGGGCGCCGCCTCCCGAGACCCCGGGGCCCTCAGCAGCCTGCGCCCCAGGAGCCGCCCCCACCCCAGGCCGCGCCAGGCCTCCCCCAGCTTGGCGGAGCTCGCGGAATAAAGAGGTTTCGGGTCGCCTGTGCCCTTCGGTCAGTTCCCAGGGACTGTCAAGGGTTGTTCTTTGAGAAGATGATGGTCAGCAGGGGGTGTGCCCTGGGCCCTGGGCCCGAGAGGTCAAGGCCGCCTCCAGAGGTCAAGGCTGCCTCCAGACGACTGAGCACGTTGTGTTTTAAAAGATGTTGTCTGTTTATTCATGAGGGAGCCAGAGAGAGGCAGAGACCCAGGCGGAGGGAGAAGCAGGCTCCACGCAGGGACCCCAACGGGGGACTCATCCTGGGACCAAGGGTCACGGCCTGGGCCCAAGGCAGGCGCCAAACCGCTGAGCCCCCCGGCGGCCCTTTAGCCATCCTGTCAGTAGTTCCCAGTTGGCTTTCTATTTGGTCGTATTATTGGTAAGAAGTCGAATTCATGAACAGTTATTACTTACGTAGGAACTCTGACCAGGGCCATTGAAATGAGGGGCTGGCTCCTTGTCAGTCTGATAAAATGTCAAGGCAATGAGGACTGTGCTCGGGGAACCGCTGCAAATATGCCATTATGATCCTATTGGTGGTTTTTATGATCACAGTGACAAAATACAGTGACATCAGGCTAATGTTTACCTCCTGCCTCTCGTCCTCTCTCTGTCTCTCTCTCTCTGTCTCAAAAAAAAAAATCTTTATTTTTAGAAAAATTTTAAATGATTTTATTTGTTTGACACACAGAGAGAGAGAGAGAGAGAGAGAGAGCACGCAGAGGGAGGGGCCGAAGGAGAGGGAGAAGCAGACTCCTCCCTGAGGTGGGGGGGCCTGATGTGTGGCTGCATCCCAGGACCCCGGGATCATGATCGGAGTTGAAGGCAGATGCTTAACCAACTGAGCCCCCCAGGTGCTCCTAAATAAGCTCTTAAAAAAAAAATAAAATCTTTGAATATTACATTAGAAATTAATTCTGCAAAAGTCAACCCTAAGGGTGGGCGTGTTAAATGAAATCTAAGTATAAGGGATGAAGCAACTAGCAACACCAGTGAATCCATCAGAGACAGGCTCCACATTGGTTACAGGGTTTCTGATCTCTAGTATTTCTCTCCTTTTTTTCCTTAGGGTTTCTATCTCTCTGCTTACACTGCTCACCTGTTCTTGCAGGCTGTCTGTCCATTAGAGCCCTTAGCATATAAATCATAGTTGGGGTTTTTCTTTTAAAAATTTTATTTATTTATTCATGAGAGACACAGAGAGAGAGGGGGCAGAGACACAGGCAGGGGGAGAAGCAGGCTCCCTGCGGGGAGCCCAATGCGGGACTCCATCCCGGGACGCCGGGGTCACGCCCTGGGCGGAAGGGAGGCCTAAACGCCCGACCCACCCAGGCACCCAGGGCAGGATTCTTTTTATAATTGTGAGTAGCAGTCCTTCACCAAATATATCTTTTGCAAATATTTTTTCGCAGTCTGTGGCTTCTCATTTTCTTGACATTGCCTTTCACAGAACAAAAGGTTTTAATTTCAGTGAAGTTCAGCTGATAAGCTATTACTTTCATGGGTTGTGCCTTTGGTATTTAATCTAAAAAGTCATCACCATATCCAAGGTCATCTAGATATTTTCTTTTTTTTATAATGAGCTCTTTTTTTAAAGATTTTATTTATTTATTCATAGACACACACACACACACTCACACAGAGGCAGAGACACAGGCAGAGGGAGAAGCAGACTCCATGCAGGGAGCCCAACGTGGGACTCGATCCCGGGACCCCGGGGTCACGCCCTGGACTGAAGGCAGCACTAAAACCTCTGAGCCACCAGGGTTGCCCTAGATATTTTCTTATGTTATCTTCTCCTATGTTGTATAATCTCCTATGTTTTGTGATTTTGTGCTTTACACTTAGGCCTGTGATCCATTTCAAGTTAATTTTTGTGAAGTATGTAAGGTGTGTGTCTAGATTTGGTTCTTTGGTTTGTTTGTTGCATGTGGATGTTCCAGCACCA